CATTGCATGCACAGACTTGTCTATTCAATGATTTTTTACTGAGATACCTACCACCTAAAAAGTGTCAGAGCTGCCATTGTGTCTCTGTGCAGGGCATGTTAATGATCTGACCATAATATGAAACACAGTCATCATCAACCATGTTACAAAGCAAGCTTATTGCCATTTGGGTTTGTCCAATAATATACAGTGCCCTTTCCTTCTGGGACACGTAGATTTGAATCCACCAAAAGGGCACAGACATAAATCTCTGAAGGACAGTGCTCTAGCAGTGTTTAAATCAAAGAGCAATCTGTCTAATCTAATCTTTTAGAAAGAAATGCTAAGAAATATGTATTTGGTAATATCACAGCTTTGTATACAATTAAGGAAAAAGAGGCTAAAACCTAATGAAAAAAATATTAAAATTTACTTCTTCATAGTGTTCTTTTCTCCCTTAGATTTCTGTAATGATTTTAGTTTCTCAATCAGTTTGCAGACCAATTTCTGGTGCATCACCTTGAGCAACACTGCTTTGACAGTATGTTGTTTAAGGCAGTGACACAGCTGCAGTTTGTGAGTGGCACAGTACCACTGTTGCATATTAAGACTGCTCTCAGTCGGTCCACCTAATTCAGGACACTGAGAAAGGTTTTGTATATTCGTTTAATGTTGTTTTATCTGACAGTTGCATTTCATTTTTTTAATTTGAATTCACAGAGCCAACATACTGGATTAATGGCTTATATTTTAAAATAGCATTTAAATTTCTGTAACAGAAGATACACAGGCTGTATCAGTATTTGTGGCAAAGACAAAAATTATTTTCTGCATCTTTTTCAGATGGAAAAATAATTGAAAATTTGTCAGAAATGGAGTTTTTGGAATTACAGATTTGATGATATGGCATACATGACTGACCACTCTGCAGATACTACTATTACATACCAGTCTCCTTCACAGGTGGTAGAATTCACAATATCTCAAAACCAGCATGCTGGAAATGAAGCACTGGTTACAGACCTGTCTGTTTAATCCCCATCATTGCTGTAGAACGACTTCATTGAGTATATGGCATCCGTTCACTGTATTTTTTTCTAGTGGCATAAATAATAAATTTCAAAGTCGAATTCTGCATATTTCCAGCCTGAGGAATTCAGAGACAGAAGTAGGTCACACAGCATTCCAGCCCAGGCACGTTGTAGCTGCATGTGCTTCCTGAATGTCAGCTATCTCTGACCTCAAGAAATGGAACTGTGAAGCATACCTGACAGCTTTTAAACACTTTAATGCAGGATGAAGAGAAGGGATAATTGCTGGTGAGGACAAGGATTGTACACATCTGCAGCAAAATGTCAAGACTGGAAATAATGCCTTTGGTTAGCAGCAGGGATACTGGTCTTGGAAAGCTGTGTATAACTTGGTCAGGTTATTCCCATCTGCTGTAACTGCAGCAAAAGGGGAAGGGGCAGGAAATGAGCACTGCACTACAGACATTTCAAGCAGAGAATCCCCTCATCAGCAAGTCAGGTGTCCTTATTTAGATTCTATTTTTACTGCTAATGGTGTCCGGGGAAGAAAAGTAACAAAACCCACCCCAAAAAAATCCCCCCAAAACCCCACCACCAAACAAGATCGCCCAGCAACAAGAGCCCTGTACAAACATGAAATAGAAATGCAAAGTGATTGTGATACATGTTCCTGCCGTTCACCTGGGGAAAATGCAGATGCCATGCATTTAGAAGTGGGAGCCCAAGAAAATCTGGATGGTTTGAGGTGACACAGTTCATGTGTTTTACAGGAAGTGTCACATACAGATATTTATTCAGACCTAACTTACATGTTCAGTTTTCTCTCACCTGAGGCAACACTGCATAGTCTAACCATGATAGAAATACCTATATAGTAATGGGACTAGTGAAGTCATTCAGGAGGGGGTATATTTTTAGTTAGATTAGTAGAATAAGCTCTGTATTGAACTGCAGATAAAACACAGAACAAAGAAAGGGGATGTAAAGGGAACTCTTTCTTCATTCAGTGGTCATTGAAAGGAACGGGACAAGATAAGGATTTTCTCCACCATCTTTGTAAGCGAGGATTCCAAAAAGATACTTATAAGTAGAATGTAAGAGCTGGGGAAAAAAGCCAACAACTTTCAATATAGAAACATACTTCATGAAATATGACTCAAGTTGGAAGGAACACACAGGTGTGAACTAGGTCTGTCCAACAGTGAACGTTCCACAGCATAGAGAGAAAATAAATGCTCTCCTTCATTTAGTTTTCATAAAACTGGTATTTACTTACCTTGAAACTTCAACATGCAGAGTTAACCATTATTCTTGGTATATGCAACTTTTAAAAGGCTGTACGCATCAAAGCAAGTGGTGTCCCTGCCCACAGCAGGGGGCTTGGAACGAGGTGAGCTTTAAGGTCCCTTCCTACCCAAGCCATTCTGTGATTCTCTGATTTTAAATCCATAGTTTTAACTGAAATCCAAAATCCTGTCTTCTGCGTAAGGAGGCAGTTTTCTACTGTTTTCGAAGAGGCACTACCTCATACCCATCCTTCAGTGATCAGCAACATGGTGTTGTTTATGAATCAGCAGAAGCATCGCTTTTGTTCATCTCAATGGTAGAAGCCTATAAATAGTGTCAGCAGCTTTTTTTAAGGCATGTGGGATGTTTTAAACCCACATCCGGCTTACACGTTTCAATCAGTGTTAAGTGCTGCCCCACAAGAGCAGCAGACAAATGGCCTTGAAAACAGCCATCCTGACTTGTATGGTGTTTAGAGCCAAAAGTCTTTTGGATTATGTCACCTAGACACAAGCATTAAGTTGCATGAATTAATGTAGGAAGTACAGCAGACAACATACACAGTATTTTACTGAGATACTGGGGGGAATATTGGGCACCATATTGCCAAGACTCTACCCAAAACCCTGCTGGCAACAGGGGAAGTGGCAAAGTGGAAAAATATGGATTTGTACTCATCTCTCATTCCTTCTGATTGCAAAGCCTGTATCTCTGAAGTACAGACCTTAGTTTTACAGTCATTCTTTGTCCTTCTGTTTTAGCCTTGTAAAGCAGCTGACAGCTGTGTAAAGTCACAGCTATGTACACTGGGCTTCTAAGATCAAAAGGAACCATCAGTCATCTGTGTGTGAAACAGTAAGACACTATTTGCACTGAGTTCATAGCTTTTACTTAAGCTAGATTTCCACTTCTAAGAATTCCAAATGATTTATGCCCTGGGTTTGGTTAGGACAGAGCCAATTTTCTTCCCAGTAGCTTGTACAGTGTTGTGTTTTGGATTTAGTATGAGAATGTTGATAATGCACTTATGTTTCTGTTGTTGCTAAGTGGTGCCTATACTAAGTCAAGGACCTTCCAGTTTCTCATGCCCTGCCAGGAAGAGGCTGAGGGGCACAAGAAGCTGGGAGAGGGCACAGCCTGGACAGCTGAGACAAAGTGGCCCAAGGGATACTCCAGACCATATGGCATCATCCTCAGCATATAAAGTGGTAGAAAAGCTTGCTGGGGGACCACTGCTTTAGGGACTGTCTAGGAATCAGTCAGCAAGTCACGAGCAATTGTATTGTGCTTCACTTGTATAGTCTATATTATTATTATTATTATGAATACTAATAATTATTATTGTATTTATTTACTGTTTATTAAACTATCTTTATCTGAACTCATGAGTTTCTCACTTTTACTCTTATTGTCTCCCCCACCTGACTGTAGGGGAGCAGGTGAGTGGCTGGGTAGTGCTTAGTTGCTGACTGTGGTTAAACAGTGACACTTAAACACTTTAAAGTGTCGAATAGTCCATCATGGTTGTTCAACTGCTTAACAGAGTAAGAAAAAAAGGATGCCAACTCCTTCTCATCCCACAGTGGAATAATAACAAAATAATAATAACAAAGTACTACCACAAATAATAAAAATTGGGAGATATCTCATAATTCATATTATGGCTTAATTTTTACATCTACTTCCATAGCTCTTCCATAGTTACTTCCACTCTAAATGTGTGCCATCACATTAGATGAACTTACCAACAGCCTAGGTAAGATGCACAAGTCTTTCGCCCCCCAACAATGTGTTTTTAATATGGAGGATTGTTAGAAAGGACAGAAAGAATTACCTTTAATCTACCTTCATTTGTATTAAATATAATTATCAGTCAAAATCTCCTTGTTTTCATGATCCATACTGACTTCAAAGTGCTGGTGATAGTTATGGTTGTATTTTTTTTTTAAATTCTTAAAAAAAAAATGTTTTAATTTCTAGCAAGGGAATTTCCTTTTCTGCATATAAACCAACACCTAAGAGCACTTTTTTTCCTAGAATAACTTCAGATACAAATTAATCAGTCCTGAAATTAGAGCTCATCTCAATGATGAAAGTGTGGTACAACTATCAGAAAACAAAGGATCTTAGTAAGTCAGCAAAAATGCCTTTTTTTAGTTTAAATGCTTCTGTCAAAGCCAAAGTGAAGTGCAAAATATGCACGTAAATATAAATATATGTGCATGTGTGTTGGGAATTAATTAACCTAGGTCCCTTAATAGTCTACTCAGGGACTAAAGAATTCATTCATTATGGAAAGGAAAGACTTTGTAAGTAACTGAGTCTCTGCTGTGCTTATGAGTCATAATGAAATAAGCCTTCTTGTGAAACTTTTGTAGGTAACAAAGAGATTATGGAATTACACTGTGTTGGAACTACATTTTGTTTTGTGCAGCTTGTTTTAAGATGTAACATGGAAGACAACAGGGAGCTCAACTAGCAAACCACACGTCTCCCAGGTTCTTTCTTCCACTCACTTATCTGAAATATGACTACCACCAAAATGGAACTGCATGGGATTTTTTAGAGCATTTGTTCTGATATCCTGAATTACTCAAGTGTCTTAGCAGCAACTTCCTTTTTAAATGAAATCATATTTCTAATACAGTGGACAGACACCTAACTTTCAGTAATAGCCAAGAAAACAATTCCACTCTGACAAGGTGCAATCAGGAGGAAATTTTATATAACACTGCAAGTAATAAATAAATTATGCATAGCAAGACTAAATTCAGAATAAGTATATTGTGAAACAAAATACATTAGAATAATTGAAGAAAGAATTAATTACAGAGTTAGGATATAAACAGTAATGCATCCCAGGCAGAAGCAAACAACAAAACTGAAGGAAATATAATTGTGGGCTGAGTTTGTTCAAGAGAAACAACATTTACAGGTGGGAAAATGCATCTGATCTCACAGGATGACAATTTGCTTGCAGAGAACCAGCACAAGCTTTATGTATGTTACATCCCACCACAAAGTAGGGCATTAAATACTGTTTGTATGTATGGCTTGAGGTCTGGACAGAAGTGCATTTTACTCAGTGAACCAGCTCCTGCTACACCTTCCTGAAATCCTAATTGCCATTCCACAGCCATTCAAGCAAAGGATGTTTCCACAAACAGCAAAATTTGAATAATTTCCTGAAATCCTGAAGTGGCAGAAATTCACAAGTACATAAGCCTGTAACTATGTGGAAATTTCCTAAGAAAGGTAATTTGCAAAACTACACTAGGGAGGCGTTACCCAGGCTTAGAGTAAATAAACAGCACTTCTGGTAAACTGAAACTTGAGAGCAGGAAATTCATCTTGGCATCACAAGTTAATTGACACCTGCATTAATTACTGTTGTGAACTCTTAAAGCTCTTCTGCACCACACCAAATTCCCTTGCACTTCCAATATGTAACCAAACACAACACGTAACCAGTTAACTTACCATTCTGACTAAAAACTCAACCTTAACTACGTAACATTCTCTATAAACACATTTACATATACAAACTGTTATTCTGCATATAGGAAACTATGCTGCAGGAATTGTACTTCTACACATGATTTCAAATGAAATTAAAAGTTGGCATCTCTTCTGGTTAAACATAAAAGTGCAAAGGAGATGGCTGTGGAACCAGAGAGTGAATACACTTGGGTAATTTGGTATTAAGAAGGTCCTTGAAGATTTAAATGTGTGGAGAAGGTCATGCTTCACATTAACTTCACTTCTGATTCACAGCTTCATCCAAATCACACATCTCATCAAGAACAAAGCTGTTGGACAGGTGGATGCAACTTTGCAAGGCATTACAGTAGATGCATGAAGTTGTGTTAAGGTGTAAGTCTACATACGATTGCTAGTGACGCTCTTATGGCTGTTCATACCATTTCATGAAAGCTAAACGAGAAAATACATTTTGGGAGGCATCTAGTAACAACAGGATTGTTAAAGAGCTTGTAAGGAGAGTCCACCTAAACATTTTCCAGATCATCCCTACAAGTAATACTGACCTCACCAAGGAAGGGAGATGTTCTCTCCCTCTTCACGCCCCCTCTAGGAAACAAATAGTTGCAATTAATCTTTTTAGTGGAAGGATTACTGCATTGAATTCAGTATTGCAAATCTAAAAATTGTCTCCTTGAAGTTTACATATGGTAGACTCCTTCTTTTCTTTGGGTACTTTTGATGAAGAAATATTTCTTTTCCACATCTATACACTTATGTAATACTTCTGAAGTCATTTGTCAGAATGTCCAGGATAAAGGACTTACCCAAACATCAGGTATTTAAATGCAAAGCACTAGGAGCCATTAGGCATAAGTTCAGAGTTAAAAAAAAATAAATCAAACTTTAATTTGCTTTTGCTGTGTCAAAAAGGGTGAAGTTCTGCAACTAGCTTAAAATTGCCTGCCATGGCTCAATCCAACCCACTGACCACCCAAAAAGGAAACTATTCCAACCTCTTTCAACCAGCTCTAGCTAGTTATTTTTTTTTCTGCTAGCTCAGGTGGCACTTGTACAACTGTGCAATGAGTAAATTCATACTAAATACAGCACTAATTCTACTGCCTTCATCAGAAGGGCAGGTAGGAAGTGAGCAAGTCTCCTGAGAAGTCACATGAGAGCCATGATTCACAGCCAAGAGCATGGAATGGAAAAGAAACTTCTTTCAACAGCACATCCCATTCCTCCAATCCCAGAAATGGCATGGATCTTTAACCTTAAGAAGAATGAAGAAGCTAATACACTTATCTGCTTGGTAATACCCATTTCTGTTAAGGGGGGAGGGGGATGGACAGCTATGAAGTACTGCAAAACAGCCATCAAATAATTCAGTTGTCAGATTATCAAACAAAGGTTTTGCAGTTTCATGGTCTACTGGTATACTTTCAAAATAAAACCTCATTAATTTGTGCACAAGCTGTTCTCTCTTTGGTGCAGCTTATGCAATTTACTAAGGATGAAAGGGAAGTACATCCCTAGGACAACATGACTGACTATCTCTAAAACCATCCCTTTTCTTTCCCTCCTCTTTCACCAAAGAAGACACAGCAGCCAACTTCCCACAGCCATCAAAGGTACTAGTCTATGTTGAAGAATACTTGGCTTACTGAAGTTTATAGCATAAACTCTACTTGTATTCTGCAGCCAAATCCTGCTTGAAACAATACTCCAATCTCATCAGGAAACTGTGGCAAGGCTTTTAATTTTTAAACTGTCATATCTGACAGAGTTTTCAGGATTATTTTTAAGCTTTAAGGGGAAAATACTCTTGATAAAGAACTGGACATGAAAAATAGATTAGTTCCTCTTTAAAGTTTGCAATATTTAGTCAGAAGACCTTTCACAGAAACTGAGCAGTAACCTTAACTATGGCACACTGCAAGAAACTAAAATGGAGGTACATTTTAAAAAGTGACTAATTACAAATTGTGGGGAGGTCACATTTCTGCTTTTCACATCAAGAGGACAAAGCTGTAAGACAGTCTGAAATGAGCTTTATGAGTTACTTTTCAATATAAACTAATCTTTAATTACAAGTTTGGTATGTTCTGGATATGATAAACTAATTCAAGGACTAACTAAAGGTCTGAGCACAAGTCACAAAAAGTTCTACCCAAAATTGGTAGAAAGAAAGGCAGTGCATCCCAGAAGAACAGTAATTTCAGTCTTGGTTTCCTTAGCTCCTTGCTTTTCTTTGTCTTGACATAAATAATGTCCTCTTACCTGCTGTGGCAACTTCTTACAAATGAAACCAAGAACAAGAGTAAATCTTTAGCAGCATAAATCAAATCTGACTATTATGAATCTAGAAATAATTAAAAAAAATCCAAGACCAAATATACTTATTGCAATCATTTTTCATGTTTTCGATTTTATATTTCTGGGATCTGTTTTTATATTTAGCTTAGAATATAACTTTATATCCCCATCATAAATCAAACATCATGGATGTCTTTAAATATTTTGAAAGGCTCTTAGTGGATACTAAGTATTTTAGATAAAGAATCAGAGAAAATGTAGATTTGGAAGAGATTTCAAAAGATCACCTAAACCCATCTCTGCACACAGGCAATATGAAATATACTACAGTCCATCCCTATGAGATGTTTCATAAACCTCTCCTTAAAACTTCTATAATGGAAATTTAACAACTCCCATGGGAAGCATATTTTAGTGTATCACTACCCTTATAGTTGGAAAGTTTCTCTAGCCTGTCTTTGCTACAAATATAGGTTACTTATGAGGATATTAAGAGAAACTTCCCAATTATAATGATCATGAAGTATCCCCACGACTATTTCGAGAAGCCACTACAATTTTCAAAGACATTCTGGTGTTTGATACGCATACAATTACTTATGGTTTCACCTTATCTTCTGATTAAAAAACTGATTTCAGTAATTTTCAGTTACAGAACTGAAATCAGAATTTCTTTACTGAGACTGAGTTTACCTTTAATTCTTAAATTGACAGGACAAATAGGTAACGGTGATGTTAAACAACTATTCTGGATTACGTGGTGTATTTTTGTGTTAGTTGTTAAAAGCCCATCACAAAAAAAGTATCACATAATTTACAAGAAAAGTGGTCTTTCATTTAAAACGCAAATATCTGTATTCTACTCCAACGGGAAGTCCTGACTTTGAACACATCACATAATCTGTCTCTATTTCATCTTTAACAGGACACCAATATTCCTATTAGAAACTTTGTGAAGATACTATATGCAAAATATTTCAAATGCTAATACAAGGATTGCTGCTTGTTAACAGGTTCACCAGGTGATAGAAGAACATGGCATGTCTCTAAACAAATCTGATAGGAAGCAAAGAACAAAAGTGCAAGTAAGATACCACTTCTGCCCAACAGGTATTTTTGGTATTGGCTTTTATATAAATTGACTTCTGCCTGCTGATAGTATCTTGATTCTGTTCATAAATCAGCACATGTCTTACAGTGAGTTCAACTGACTCATTTCAATATCAGAAGTACAAAAGCCACAGAAGTGATACACTCTGCAACTGTGTTAAAGTTACCATAAAGGTAAATTGCTCTGTTTCAGGGCTTCCTGAAATCAGGGCATTCTGAATTCTAAATAACCAGTATTTAGAAAGCTAACTTTAGAACAGTCCAGTTGAGATACAACAAAACTGACAAACCATTTCATGGTTTTTTCAAAAATGCACAGAATGGTTAATGTTCTGTTCTCTCATGTTTGTAATTTAAATCAATTTTCATCTAAATTCAGACTGTATTTTTAAAGCACAAATCTGTTTTTTTCAGCATTGTTGTAGCACTATCTATATTTGCATCAAAAAAACTCGAGGCAGCAAATGCCCTGTTTATGGATAATTCTTTTTCTGCTAAGATAACAAATTTCTTGCTGCCATGGGATTCTTGCGATATTTTTCCGTTCATAATTCTTAAAAAATAAATTAAACAAAAAGCATAAAGATAGCAAATAGAATTAAATTTTATCTTATAGTCACTATTTCACATTCTACATTATATCCCCAATTAAAAAAACTTTTGTTTTACAAATATTATTTTTATAGATACAATATTGTTTCAGGCTTGCAGTCATGAGAACAATTATACTGCTTGGCTACTGGAAATACCCTGCGTTTAGCCTTGTTACGCACCTGAGATGTGTGAAACTGTCTCAATTACAAATATATTACAGAAGACCTAGGGCCTGATCCCATAGCTGTTCAAAGCATCCTACAACAGCCATTTGTCAGTGATAAGGAAGAACAAATATTGGAGGTGCAGAATTCTACTGGATCAGGCCTTAAGTGTAAGTGCATTATACAACACATTATATGGTGACATCTCAAAATAAAATACTGTATTTTTATGTAATGCAGAAGTAACACACACAACTTACATATAGTAATAATTTATTCTGAAATGTTCATTTTAGTCTCTGTTGAGACATGACCCACGTCTCATTAATAAAAGAGCAGCCATCTCACCTCAAATACCAGAATATACAACAAGTTACAGCATAGCAAAAAAATTCTACCTACTTTAAGATAAAATCTAATTCAGGTAAAATAATTTTGTTCAAGGTTTTACAGTTACACAGTTGGTTTTTTTTGGTGTTTTTTTTTTTTTCAGAGCACAAAGGAAGTGTAAATTGTTACACTATAACTATCTATGCACATTATGGGACCACAGAAATGTTAATCATTACTTCATAAAATGAACCATCAGTTCCATTCATGCAGAAAAGCAGGCTAGGAAAGCTTGTTCAGCGGAAACCATATTACTGTGAATTTCACAGCCACATGATTAATTATTGGGTTAGATGGACTCACAAATACTAAAAATGAGTATTTTTTTTTTGCATAAATAATACCAATTCTTCCCTGATGTAGTTTAGTTGGTGTGTAATCTAGAAATTACTGATCAGGCAGTATGACTGTATCTTCTCTATCTGCACTATTCCATGACTTTAATGACAAGCAATATTCAAAGGATTACGGGATGGGATGCTAATACATGTTAAACATACTATACAAATATACTTGTGTTAGCAATTTTATTCCAAACTGTCAGTCGGGTATTCCTGCAAAATATTACCAGTGAAGACAAAGTATACTATCAAATATGGCTTCCAGAACAAGGACCATCTAACAAGAATCAAAGCTATTTACAACAAATAAAAACGAAAGGAAAAAAAAAAATCAATCCCAATTATTTCTTGTTGCACTTAAAAAAAAGTTACCAAGTAACACCCAGAGTGACGTTTAGGGCTTTGGGTTCCACTGGAGTCGGTGTTCTCAGACTTGGTGTCACGTTTCTTGGTGCTGTTGTTCACTGGAGTTGGAATCTGTGAGGGCCGAGCAGAACTATTGTCCACGCTGCTCTTCCTGCGGCTTGGGTTGTAGTTGAAGGGAGTCACCCTTGCTGCCACAGCACCGATGGGGGAGCTGTGCTTGCTTGAGCTACTGGAACTGAATGGTGTGCGCTCACTTACAGTACTTTCACTAATTTCTGGTGCAGGAACAGGATTATTCTGCAGAGGCTTTGTTTCAGTGCCTTTCTTGTCTGGACTGTCTATCTGAAAGAAAGAGTTCAGACGGTTTTCTAAGCCAACAGTACGAATAGGAACACCTGCACTCCCTGGGGTTTGCTTTTCTTGAATCTCTTTAGGATCTTTACCATTCACACCCCCTTTCTCTGAAACGCTGTCAATAACGGGGGGAGTATTTCCAGTTGGGGACCTTCCAGATCGAGGGTTGTTAATTGGGCAGTCCTCTATCCTCACCCATACATCCTCTGTCTTAGAGACAGCTGGTGCCATCTGGTAGATGAGAGTTTTGGACTCGGAGCCATTTGTGGCACCCAAGGAAGGATCGTTCATTATCTGAGGAATTTCATTTTCTTTTATTTTTCTCCAAGTACCTTTTGCTGGTGCTTGGCTTTCTTTACTTTGCTTGTGTCCAGGAAGAGAACTTCCATGTTGCTTCTCATCTTCACTTTTTGCCTTTTCACTGGACTCTGAGGAAGCTGAGAGAATTGAGGAGGAACTTCCAGTTCTTCGCCAAGTGCTTACACGAGGGAGGGATGAGGAATGCTTACTGTGCTCACGCTTCCATGTTCCTGATCTATTGATCAGCAGTCTAGATGGACTTTCGGAGTGAGAACGAGCTATGTCGTGGCGCTTGGCTGGTCTCCCATCATATTCTACAGAAGGGCTCTGATTAGGGGCTAATTTTCGCCAACCACCAGTCTGGGCAGTTGAATGAGTGGATAAAGACATATCAGGAAGAGACGGACTCAGAACTGGGGTCTGTAGTTGGGACCTCGTGGGAGAATCTGGCCTAGAAGGAGACAGAGATTCAAATGAAGCTGACTCTTCTAATTTCCGTCTCAGAGTTGGGCTTGGAGCCTCTTTAATAAAAGTTGACTGACGAACGAGAACGGGTCTCTCAGACCTGTCAGATTCACTTCCACTAGATTTTGTGGATGACATTCTGGATAGATCAGTCTTTTTGTTTGATCCACCAGTGCTTAGAGCCTGGTTTAACCCTTTTGAAGCAGACTCACTTCGTGGAATGCTACTGGTACTCTTAGGTAAGGCAGTTTGCTTTGTAAGGTTTTGCTGGCTCATCTGCCTGCCTGGTGGTGTGTATGACATTCTACCTGAACTTGAGGATTTAGTTGAAGCTGTGCTTGGAGATGATGTTCTTGGCAACTGTGATAGTTTGTTGGGAGGACTTATACCATTTCTTCCCGGGGAAATGGAGTTTCGCCCAGGAGATTGCAGAGGCCTACTTAATGGCTGCTGCTGAGGTCTAGAAGGAGTGGAGTCTCTAGACCCTGATCTAGATGGTCCTTTACTTGATCCACTCTGATTCAATCCCGATGGCTGCCTTGTTACAGGAGCTGGCTCAGATTTCACTGATGACTTGGCTCCTCTTGGAGAACTAGTCAAACTTTGGCCTTCACTGGGACTCTTGGAGTTCATGTTTTTGAGTGGGGGTCCTTTTTTGGAAACAGGACTAGTACTTGAAGAACTATTTCGAACTCCTGGAATATGGATCATTGTTCTACCACGTGAAATTGAAGGCACACTTGTCTGTTGTGATTGCTTCAACTGGCTTGAAACTTCAGAACTGGAGCGAGCTTTTCCTGTGATCATACTTTTATACACTTTCTTCCCTCCTTTGATTCCCCTACTTTCTGACTCTACTTTTTTAGACTCCAGTGTACTTTTCTCTCCTGGCTTAATAATTCTTGGACCTTTATTGCTAGTGAAGGGCTTTTCTTCTTGGTCTGGGGTAAGATGAAATGGTGACCCTAGAGAAATACCAGATTTTAATGAAAGGATAGAATCAGAGTCTGATGAGGCTTGTCTAGACAGTGATGCAGCAGCTGCAGCTTGATGCAAGCTACTGACTATAGAATTTGCACCTTCTTGTATAGCTTTCCAATCAAAGTTCTCTGAATCAGGTGAAAAACCATGTTCTGAATCTGGCCTCTGTATCTCTCTCAAATCCAGTGTTAAATCTTCTGCCAGTATGCCACCAGTATTTCTGGAATTATTCTTTTCGCTTTCACCCTTCATTCTTGAGGGCTTTTTCTTTTTAGGCATAGCAGAACTAATGCATTCCTGCAAAAGATCATCTTCTGAGTCAATGCTAAGGGAACTCAGAGAGCTGTTTCTAGAGAAACATACAGGAGTATCTTCAACATGAAATGATTTAGGTGCATAACCAGAAGTCTGTGGTCTGTTGGATTCCATCTGTGAATCAGGAGCCTCGGGACGTTTCGCAGGTTCCCCTTCTTTGTTGTTATTGTTTTCTTGATCAATGTCACTGAGGGAACTAAGTGATGAATTGCGGGAAAAACAAACAGGTGTGTTTTCAATAGCAAAATTCTGCATTTTCTCATCTGTAGCTGCCCCTCTGTCTGGATTATCTTTAGCTGACTGAGAGAAAGCTTTAGGCTGGCTTCTGCCTATTGGATGTTTCTGACAAACTTGAGTCCTGTTACTTGGCTGCTGATTTGAAGACTGTTCTGGGTTAGAGCAGTCTTTATTTTCTGTTTCCTTTGCTTCTTTTCCTTTTCTTAACTCTGCCTTCTCTCTTGAAAGGTCAACATCATCATCATCAAAATCTAAAGAACTCAGGGAATCATTCCGTGAAAAACAGTAAGGAGTTCCCTCAATAGGTGTGTAATGATGAGGGGAATCAAATGCAAAGCTTCCTCTTACACGCTCTTCATTATTTGGCAATTTGTCGTGAAAGTCTCTTGAATTATTTTTAAGGTTCTGTTTCTTTGCATCTCTGTTCTCTGGGTAGCCTCTTTCATTACTAACATTGCTTTTGGGCTCTGTGCTTTTTCTTATGCGTGCTCTGTATTCGTTATTTTGGGGAACAGGCTTTACTGGTGATGTTGGCTTCTTTTTCTCACCTTCTGGTTGGTTTTTATTACTTAGAGATGAAGAAGCTTGTTGAATTTGATCCATTATCTTCTTCACTCTGAAAGGTTTGTGACTTTTTCCTTTTGGCATAGCTGAGTTAATGCACTCAGCCAGAATATCACCCTCTTCTGTTTTGTCATCATCCAGACCTGAGGAAACCACAGCTGAGCTTTTTGCTCTCTGAGCATCTTCAGTACTTCTCCCTTCTGTGGGAATGGTGTCCCGCTTTTCAAACTCCCCTGACTCTGCTCCCACACCCACACTGTCTACATTGGCCAACTCACTCGGTGGCGACTCTATTGTGAGATCACTCAGAGATGTAGCTGTAGAAAAGTTTATTGGTGTCCCCTCAACACAGTACACCCGTGGCATATCATCTCCTGGTGTAAAACTCACATGCTTTTGCGACTGCAGTCTGCTTTGTGAAGGCAAAAGTTTGTAAACTGGCAACTGGCTGGGCTTTCTGGCTACAGGAGGAGGTATTTTTGGAGCAGATGCTTGAGAAGGCTTTTTGGCTTTACGTGAAGACTTTGTTGGCATTGCAGAAATAATACATGCTTCCAGTATTTCAATATCATCATCAGAATCATCCAGAATGTCTTTTTCTGCTTCAGCGGGCTTCTCTGATTTCTTCTCTTCATTATCCTTTGTATCATCTGACTGTTCAGGTTCTGTCTCATTTCCATGGTCATTTTCATGAACCGGAGGCATTATTCTCAACTCTGCATCTTTCTGTATAAATGGCTCATCTAAGCTCAGAGCACTCAGGCTGGAAGAGCAGGAAAACCCATCCGGTGTGCTTTCTGTGGCAAAATGTAATAGTGTATCAGCATCTGGCAGTACCTGAACTCTCTGAACAGCTGCATTTACAGCTGCCTGTCTAGGACCAGGCTCTCTCTTCTCTGTACTGTGTACTTTTCCCTTCGGTACATCTCTTTTTACTTGAACCCCTTGAGCGGGTGGTGGTGTTTTACTTCTGCTTGGAGGCATTGTTTGTCCAGGGCTGTCTGGAAGGTCACTGGGACTTATAATACCACTTACTATTCCACTGCAAGGCTCACTTTGAACTGAGCTGGCAATTGAACGACTTTCAAAACTATCCAGAGAGCTTACAGAGGTACATCTACTGAACATGAGTGGTGTTTCCTGTACATAATGTTCTGGCGGGCTTTTAGGAGTTTGTGCACCACTCTTTGAGGGAGATTTGGCACCTGAAGAAAATTCAACAGCTTTATGTCTAGAAGAATCAGAAGGAGACAAGCTAGAAGTTTGAAGTCTACTTGATTTTGCCCTGATGTGTTGTGATGTAGATGTGATTTCACTTACTGCACCTTCTGTAGGCAGAGCCCCACTGTTTTCCTTTAGTTCTGCGATCTGTAGTGTGTTATTTGCATCTGTGCCACGTGCAGATTGATCACGCCCTATTTCATCTTCAGCTGATGATAAAGATGACAAAGAGCTACACCTTGAAAAGCATATTGGGGTATCTTCCACGCAGTAAGTTTGTATAGTTTCCTGGTTAATAGAGGGAGTCTTACAGGAGGTCTTCTGTGCATGACCACTTCTGCTCTGTGCAGAACTTGGGTGCAGCTGGGTCTGTCTCTTTGAACCAGTTGAGGGAGCTGATGTGCTCCCACTGCTTGAGGGAATATGGTCAGTTTTAGTGAGTTGCACAGAAGTCTTTGGAAAAGTAAAAGATGGCTTCTGAGAAGGCGGTGGAACTTCCGTTGAGTATTTTAAACTATAATCAATAGGCTGATCAACATGATGCTCCTCTTCATTGTACTTTATGCTATAATTAGTTGGTCTGTCTTCCTCTTCATGTTGTTCCTCCTCAGAGTAACGTTCACTATAGTTGGTTGGCTTGTCATCATCATAGTCATCAACCTGGCACAAGGACTGGTTTACTTTCTGATTCATTCCAAGAGCTGGGCCTACTCTGTTCTGATCTGAACCACTGGATCCTCTTGATCTAAAGGAAGAAACACACTCCTGCTGTCCAAAAGGTGACTGATATTTCATGTGTTTATCATCTCCACTTTCAGCATACACGGGATAAGTTGCATTTTGGCTTCTTGACTGTCGTTGTTCATTTTGTTTCATTTCATCATCTATTACATGCTTAGGCCTTGCCCATCTTTCATTCTGAGAGGGGCTTTGCCTTCCAGAATTTAACTGTTCATCTGAGTATTTAAGACTATAATTAATAGGAGTGTCTAGTTCTCCATCATTGTCATCCATATGATTTGCACTATGAATCTTGTGTGCCAAGTCAGCTGGATATTGCCCATAACTACAAAATTTACTTTCATCATCTTCAGAGAAGGATTCAATGGAAGGTTTCATCTGGCCTCGTTTGCCATAGCCATCACTGCTGCTGACACTATTTAAACTATCATTCGAAGCTCTTTTGTATTCCATTTTTGTGTAAGGCACAGAACATGTCCTGTTTGAATTCTCAGATTTAGGGAAGTATGTATTTGAGTGAGTATGGGCAGTGCTTGATCTCCTTGAGTCATTTCTGTCTTCAGTCAAACTGTGCATTTCAGAAGTGGAACTAGAACTTCTGTCTTCTTGCGGAATGTGCATGCTTGTTACTTCCTCCATAACTTTGGCAATCTGACCTCCAGCAGTAGAAATCTGCATTCCTAATCTCTTAGAAGAGTTTCCAGTACTCTCTGCAGCAGGATGATAGGTATTTAAACCTACTGCTCGATCCCTGTCAACACTTCGGTCTTTCTCAGAACGAGAACTTTCTGTGTTTCCTCTACTGGAAGAGGAGGAGCCAGGCAATACTGCAGTATTTACATATGGTGAAAGCACAGTCATATTACCAGCATTAAAACTCTCTGATCTGCACACACCATCATCATCGCGACTGGCATCCAGGACATACTCGCTGTATATATTTTGCTTATGTCTCTGCTTATTACGGTGAGAAGCTTTTGGGCTTAAATTATCGATGTTGTCAAAAGTCTCTGATAAATGCTGAGCATCTAATTCTGCTTCCAGTGCCTTTTGTTTTCTGACATGAAGAGATGGTAAGCTTGATCCTGGAGACATAATGTTGGCATCCTTATATTTGGCTGGCCTGTTTGCCATGAGGTTTCTCAGGGCTGCAGCACTACCCATGGCTATCATTTTGTGTTTTGAGTGGATGAGATTTTTTAGCATGCTGACGGCTCCCATGTCCCACAGCGCCTCCTGATCCTTTGCATTTCGTGCAGAAAGATTCCACAGAGTCCCACATGCATTACTAACTATTGTCAAACTGTGTGACTTCAAGTGTTGTAACAAGGTTTGTAAGCAGCTGTTCTCCCGCAAGATTTGCCTGGTGTTGAGTAATTGAAAACAAACATCCGTAAGTGGCATTTCAAAAGGATAAGAGACAAAACAAAAACCTATTATTCTAGAGGCGAGTCTTGCCCTTAGAAAGGATAATCATGAATTCTCCAGTGCAGATTTATCTCATATTTTCACTAGCTTTCATCTGAATGCTAACCAAATTCTATTACAAACATGAAGAGTTAGCTTTTAGTACATTATTTTAGTACATTCATCATTAACAAGCAGCAGCTTGCATATCTGTTTGCATATTCCTGTTATGTAAGTGAAATGCCTGCCTTATCAAGTGTATTAAAAATTAACTGTGCTTAATTACTATGCTTAATACATGCATTCATATTAAGGCTCGGTCATAGAAACTATGTCTATTAAATACACATGTGGAACCACTGAAGATTTTCAGAAGTATACCTACCTATGGTCCTCATTAGTAGCAATTAAGCTAGAAACATTTCTTAATATTCCTCCTCCACTTTCTATGATGGCTAAAGTGTTTGTTTGGCTCCGGTATGTCAGTGTGCTGACCAGAAATGCAAGAGCACCATCGACAGCACATATATCAGCTTTGTTCCCAGTACAGTGTGCTGACAGATTCCATAAGGCACTCAGAACACTTTTCAGGGTGGATTCCTAGGAAAACAGCAAAATGACAGAATGAGGGAAGTTTTCAGCTGTTGACCACAAGCTCTCAGAAATACATTAAGTTAGTTTCAAGGAGCTGTGTGTGTTCTAATTTCTGCTTTCTGGGGTGGTAAAGTAGATTTCTAGTTTTTTGTTCACTTTGCTCCTTCCTTCAGCTGTGTATTTGATATTTTCTGCCCCAGAGGTTTCAGAAATATGTGTCACAATACTTCTTTGCTGCCGCAATGATAGAAATGGCTTGAAGAGTAGCTGGCAGGAGACTCTGGGATGGAATATAATCCCTTCCAGATACCAAAAATCTATACAGAAAATTACAGAATTGGCAGTTATCTATTCACTAACTCAAAAGAGGTTTTATTAAATGGCAAAATTATAAAAAAAGGCTATTCAACAGAACAGCTCATGAAACTAAAAAGCAAAAGCTGTCAACCCTCATAAGTAAAATTAAATCAATAGCAGTAGTTTTGAGATGCCATTGCTACATTGTGGTCTGCTGCTATGTCAACTCAAATCTGCTCTTCTTCGAAACAAGTTACCTGAACCACATCAAATGTTTCACCAATCATTTTCATCAAAAGAAGGACAGTATTTGTGTTTTGTGTAAAATACATACAATCTCTCAGAAATTTATCTCAATCACTTATAGAGGATACCTTCTTAACTTCTAAAGCACATTCCATCAATGCTTTCACACTTCCAACTTCTCTGAGTGTCTTTTTACTATTCACATCTGCTCGCCAGGACAAATTCCTCAGCACACTTGCAATGACCTGCAAAATGTGAAAGAAAAACAATGCATCTCAAGGTAGCTACTTCTTTAGCAGGCTATCACACTTTCCTCCTGGGACTTTTTAAATGCTATGATTAATTAACAGTAGCCATGTTAAGCTACTGAACTAAACTTTGCTAAAATCTGCTTTTTGCTGTGTTGTCTGCTAGACTGTTATAACATTTCAGTATGAAGTTTGATCAGAGGTACTGGTTTTTGTGTGTGGGTACCTAAAACAGAGATCTGAAATCAGGTTTCCTGCTTTCCACATGAGTTGAAAATCTTGTCCAAAAAATTCAGATTTGTTCTCTACTTTTATGTCTGTTATAAGAGTTATGTAATCTCAGGGGAGATTCATATAGTAATTTCTGCTTGGAAAATAGAACAATAACATTTTCCTGTCTCACAGATGGTATGATTACTTTGATTGATGTTTATAAAGCTCTTTGAAGTCTTTTTAAAATACACTGTGCCTTTTGTAAGCAGAATACAATCTGCACCCTTTGGACTGAGGCAGATCAGTCCAGAAGTCCTGGCCTAGGGATACCAGAGTATATCAATATCAAAGTTTACCAATAACCTTTATCATAATTCTAATATTTTTCTCAATCTTAACTAGTCAGTTCCTTCTGCAGTGAAGAGAATTTTTTGTTAACAGTGTTTTAAGAAATAAAGTCAATTTTACTTAAAATTGGTCTTTTTATCTGATAATTCACTCAGACTGCAAGGAAAAAAGGGCTTCCTTTAAAAGAGCTATTCCAGTTTATTTACAATATGCATTAATTAAAACTGATTATAATTTAATATTTAATGACTTAAAACAAGTGCCATACCAATGAAGAACACTGCTGTGCTCTCAACTTTCAGGATCACCCTAAGCACTTCCTAAAGACTTTATTTTCAAGCTGTTTTCTTTACGCAGCAGGAACCATTAGAACAGATGCTCAGGTATCACAATGAACACATTAAGATCTCTCAAACTTATCTTTAAAAGTGTAAAAAAAAGTCCACTTTAAAAGTGGACTTCCACTAACAGATCAGGGTCATAAAAAGTAAGTTTTATAGCCTATAGGTTACAATAAAAAAATCAAAACCCAAAAAATCCCCAGAACATGACCACACAGGTAAGGATTTTTCCAAAGAGAATGTGTGTCATAATTGATGAAATGAGTACAAGTACAAATGTTGCATCATTGTTAAGGTAAACAAGACAACAAAGGAAGTATTTAAAAGAATCTTACCTGCTGTAAGTCTTCACTTTCAGATTTCAGTTGGGCTACAAGAGCTCTCATGCAGCCCTTCATGGAACATAACGTAGCCTGTTACGAATTGGAAGAAAAAAGAAAGTGAATAGTATTAAATGACAGGTTAGGTGGCTTGCTTCTGCACAGTGTTTTGATATTTTAAGCAAATTATAGCTGAAGTTTAATAATAGCTTCCTAAGAGATGTTGCCAACAATAAATATTTGTTTTACAACTACTAAAAATTAATGTAACTATCAGTTTCAATATGTAAGTGATAAAATTGTGCTAAATTTTTGTATTTTTTACCATAGGTCTAGGACATGATCTGCAACTTTGCTACCTTAGAAGCCTTCTTTACTATGCACCAGATAAGATACCTACTGCCTAGCAAGTCTCACAATCACATTTTTTCTTTTGAAATAAACATAGTTTGAAAAATGAGTATTTAAAACTGACATAACAACATTTCTGACTTTTTAAGCATAATGTAACAACTAAGAAGCTGCAAGGCTTTGAAATAATTTCTGATAATTCACAAAATTATTCCAAGCAGTATGCACCCGAAGTGTACTACTTCTCAGATGGACAATGTGTGCATTTACAACTGAGTAGTTCAGTTTATGCTATAAACCCAGTAGCCTGTAGCAGTTAGTGACTGGATGATGTAAAGAGCCAATATTTGTGAAGCAATTTGCAGCAAGGATTTATGCTTTACTTTTGTCTAAAACTTAGAACAAAACCCGAGTTCTCTGAAGCCTGTTACTTCCATTCACTCCTGAAATATCTTCATTCTAGAGCAGAAAGATTAAGTCTTCTCAGTATGAAGTTATTTTAAGATCCATAGCTTAGCAAAACCTGGGGCAAGGATTTATTGGATCTTTCTATCTTTTGAAAGACAGGTCCTTGTCAGAAACCGGAGAATCAATTTTCCCTTATAATGATTGAAGTAGTGCCCAGCATGAGCCAGATATGCTCCAGATATTTAAAAGCAAGCTCCAGCCTGAAGAGGTTTGAAAAATTTCACTAGAAGTTACAGTATTGTTAAATAACTGGCAACTTTAGAAAATCTGACTCATTAGCAGTTTTAGTTCAATATACTCAGAAAAAAGCAGTCACTGAAATCATTATGTGTCATATTAACCTAGTGCTCATAGAAAAGTCAAGCCAATAGATAAAATCCTTATGCTCAGTGACAAATTAAAAGTTATTTAATTTTATATGAGAGCCAATACTATACTTGAGTGATAAAGCATTCAGTTTGTGGTGCTGTCAGGAGCAGGATGGAATGACAGAAGTATTTTTAACTTCTGCCTTGAGCTCAAACTCAGTATCCTGTCCTGGAGATTTATCACCTGTGTTGAGAACTGTAATTCAAACATAACCGTGAACTGAAATTATTGCATGTTTACAATTCTGCCCTTACCTTGTTTGCCACATCTCCAAAAGTCAAGTTTGTCAGAGCCATTCCAGCATACCTCCTCAAGGTAACACTATAGTGATCATTTGTGAGTCCATACATTTCACAATCCACTTGCAACAGTTCAGCAATGGCCTGCAAACCTCCTTTGGAAAAAAAACAATTAAGAAAAGGAATAATATCTCTACTCTAGTATCTTAAGTACAGTTCATACACACCAAGGAACAAACTGCATTTTTAGGTACAGAACAAATCTCAAATATCTGAAACCCACAATGCTCAAAAAGGTATTAAATTGTTAAATGCTGCCTCTAGATCTTGAATCCTGTACTTAGCAGCAGCTAAAAGATAAGGCAGCATGACATTGGGATTTCAGGGCAAAATGGAAGCAGGAGGAATTATGAGAAGCAAGAAGCACCCTCATCTTTTAATTCCACCCAGCCAAAATCCTGACAGACTTGCACCAGATACATATAAGTCTATTTACTAAATCTGAAAGATTATCCATTTAATTATTATCACTGCATATTATTTTCTGAGAGGAGTTCATACAGTATTTTCCTTGATAATGATAAGTGGCAAATTAAGGAAAATTGCATGCACAAAACTTACTCAGAATGGACTAAAAAATTCAGGCTGTCAAGCAGGAACCAATGCAGGACAAAAAAACCTCACCAAAACACCAACAAAAAACCTCCCACCCTGGGAAGTAGTCTCCATTATGAGTCCAATACTTCTAAAATTGCAAGTACTTCCATAATAATACTAGTCTTCAAAAATTCATAGTTCATGCCAGAGAACCCAGTAACTGGCATAATAATTTATCCACTACGAAATGTTGTGGCTAATTTAAACTGCATTCGTCACTTACATCTGACACAAATGACCTGATTATGTCTTTAAACTACTAGAAAAAAAATAAAGCCATATATCCAGTGAGGAACACAAGGACTGTTAAGAGTTTCCAGGAAACTTCTCAAAGGAAGTCAGAGAAATACATCTGATCTTACCAAGTTCATTCATTGCATGCCTGTGTTCTTCGTCAAATGAGAGTTTCATCAGAACACACACTGCAGGACAAATCTGATGATCCACTGGAGCAGGCACTGATTCAGAAACAGGTAACAGTTAGTATTTCCTAGGTGATTTTATATAATAGTAAGTTTTGTAAAGCGAATCTAATCTTAAAAAAAAATCAACTGCAGTTTTATTCAGGGTTTGTATCTTCCCAGTAATCCATGAACAGACATTTAGTTAAGAATGTTACTAAGAAAAGTGCATACTGTATTTGATGCTGAAACACAAATCAGGGAGAATCCTGATCCATGTGTGGAGTAAGAAATATGACTTGCAGTACAAAAATATTACCTTGTTACTCTTAAAAACTAATAATCTTCATGAAGCAAATCAATATGGTTAAATATTCTGGTGGCATTAAATAATATGCCACATAATCTGAAGCTGGTTTTCTGGGTGTTGTATGAAATTATGAATGGTTAATTGAATGCCTTGTTTCATAACCTAGAAGTTTTTAAGTTCAAGTTTTTGTGAGACAGATTCTAGATAATGCAGAAATGGTATTGATACATCTTGTTCTGAGCCCCACTCCTGCTAAGCTGTTCTTGTGGTGAACTCCAGCATACAGGAAGCAGCCCTTGACTTCAGTAGTACATCTGCCATGGACACCTACGGAATGTCCTCAATTCAGAGAAGCAGCTAAGCAATCCAGAAGGCTAAATCTTTTTTTTTTTTTTATCCCAACCGTTCCCTGAGAAAAATCCTATTAATTTACAATGTCATGTTTTTCATATTTTTTTAACCGAACTATTTCTTACACACAACATTATAAATAATGGCTAATATTATATTGAATAGATTGAGATTATTTAATTTGTGCTCTCTGCCCCTCTCCCAAATGGAATGTGTTATCTCCTGAATACATCTGCATCGAAAGCAATTTGGGATTGTTTATCCATCAAAATGTAAAACTAAATGAGTACATATTCAGTATTAATTTACAGATTACAAATATAAACTAGTAGAATTACTACCTTGAAAGCACACCTTGAAAGGTCTGTGATTTAAATAAAAAGTGTATAAATAGGGTATTATATCTGTAATACATACTATTTCCTAACACTAATTCCACTTAAAAAAAAATATATTCACACACATACGTATAATAAAACTTGCATATATTCAACAAGAAGTCAGATTAAAGTTGTACTTCCTGTAAAGTCACTCTTTTCAATATATCCTTGAAACGTTTTTATACGTCTTGCAGAACCTACTTGGGTTTTTGTCCTGGTCCATGCCTTGTTCATGTGCCTCCTGCCATTCCCAACACGTTTCACAGTAAGCACGGATCTGCTCCAAAAGATGGAGCACACGGATTTCCCGTCTGCCTCGCTTATCATCAGGCTGGGAGTGAATGATGTTATGCAGTGCAGCGCTGGCTCTGGCACGGGCCTCTTTACTACCACGAGAGTTTCCTAACAAGACAGAGTCTTTATCGTTGCCATGTAAAAGCTGGATGAGGAGAGGAAGACATCCAGACTGACGCATGGCTATGCAGCTGTCCTGGGAGCTAGACATTGCTAGCAATGTTCTTGACATGTCATCTTTATCATGAGTACCAAGCATTGATAACAATGAATACACCATTTCCACCTGCAGGTCAAATGATTTAAAAAATACAGTTACGTTTTAAAAACACACATTAAATTAAAATGAAGTTTGAATGGTACATATGAGCAAAAAAAAATCATATTTAATGGTGGAAAAAATTGTGCTATTTAAAAAGAATTAAACTCTATTACTACTTCAGCATTCATAAGCTTAATAAATTTCACTTAGTGGTTAAGTGTCTGGAAGTGAGTGGTAGTTGTGTGTAACTGTATTAATCTACAAAACCAACAGCAAAAACTTCCAGATTTCCATTGTACAAAAAGATTAAACAAACATACTAATGAAAGTGTTTCAGTTTGGGAAAACCAAAATTTCTTTAGAATTAAATTTGTCTTTAAAAAACTATGTTCTGTATGAATCACACATTATTATAAAGATGTTCTTTGGTGAAAAACTATGCTATGTGGTATTAAATACAATTATTCTAGACAAAGGATATGAATTATTACAAAAATTTTTAGTTTACATTATGTTAAAAAAATCTGACATCCACTGTATTTAAAGTTTTCCTTTAAAATACTTCAAACTAACTGATAATTTTTTGTTAGGAGACTGACTTGTGTATGGACCAGATTATTTACAACAAATGCAACACTAAAGAGTTAAATTAATACTTTTTTGAATCTACAGGGATTAAAAACCAATAAACCAAACAAATGCTTACTTAATGTATATAAAATACTGAGCATTTGTCCAAATAAATTAAGCCATGAAAACCCAGCATTACCCATTTAACTCGGAGTAACCAAATTTCTCATTAAAAATAGCAATTTTTGAGTAATTCCCTTGGCTGTCACATAATATTGTGGTCAAGGCACTATTTAGTTTGTATTCCCACTCTCCAGTAATAGCTTTCAATCAAGAAATGCATTTGATTCTTCTAGTCAACTTTTAGTAGAATAACAGGATGTAGAAAATGATCTTAGATACTACCTAGAAACTCCAAACTCCTAAAGCCAAGATAAACAGGAACATTCAAAGTCAAAACACAACATAAAGAAACTGTCAAAGGGAATTGTGAAGTTGCAGCGTGTATGTTTCTTTAGAATATACTAATTAAGGAAGAAATGAGACTTTGGACCATTAGGCTAAGTTTTCTACTAATAACAAGACATTTGCACTAGTTACCCTACCTGTGAATGATTTTATTTGGTATCTTCAGTGACAATTCAAATGTGCCTGAAGGTGAGTACACGAGTTATAAAAAAATTAATAGCAGCAGGTAGACTAAGCAGCAAGTCTGGTAACATGTATTTCTCTAAACACTGTAGGATTGCTGAGGCAACAGAAATCTCAGAATCTGTGGAACTGTATGATCACATGCAAAATGCACTGAAATAGGAGCCAATTTTGAGACAGTGTAGCATCCCAATTTGAAGACCCTATCTTCCTGGTCTGGGAAAAATCAAATATAGCATTAAAACAAACTGCTTTGATTCTTAAAGGAGAGTGAATTTAATCTGCTTTATGCAACTATCTTGGCAGATATTTCAACTGACAGCTACAATGCAGTGTTAATTGCATTTGGAAGGTAAAGTTTTTGCCCGAGAATAAACCTGAAGAAGCCACGAACATCAGACTTCCAGGTTGCAACAAACACATTATAGGAAAAACTAAAATCTGTTTGTCTGTCTCTGTATACACACACTGCCTACAGACTCATCTTTCTGCATCTGTAAAAACATTCTTCTATTTAGAATCTCAACCACTTTCCCTTCTGCTCAGACATTAATATTAAACATTCCCTACCCCACAGCACACTCTGTTCAACCCATTTCTTTGCCTGTATCCTTCCACACTGAATCCCCCTTCCTGCCTTCAATGCTTTCCCACTGTTTGTAGCTTTGGGGAGTCCTAGAGTTTGCAGTGAAAATACTCGCAGACAGACAGATGAGTTGATATCCCTCCATTTGGGACATGCAGGACTGAAATCACAACATTATAATGCTTTTTTTAAGGTCCAAAGTAATTAATACTATGTCAAGCTAATAGGTCTGGCTTCCTAGAAGACTGGGCTCAGCACACCATCCATAGTATCCACACTGCTGCTGATTCCAGAGGCAGTATGAGATCTAGTCGTTCTTGAATTTGTCTTTTTCTTCCCTTCATATACTTCTGACTGCAGTCTTTTGTGGACAGACACTGTGAAGGGCTTACGCAATTTTTTTTTGGTCCATTTTATTTCACAGCAACTGCATTTTTTTTGTGGATTTGTACTCTGTAAAAGTATTTGAAGAAGTGCTCTGAAAAAGGTTAATTTTCATCACTGATTATAAATCAACATCACAAGCTTTTTAGATATTCCAGTAACTTCTAGGAATCATTTGTTCCTTACTGTAACAGCTCTTAACTGATCATCAACAAGTTAAAGAAAAAATAAAATTCTGTGCATATATTTGAAAAGTATCCTAAAATTTTAACTTAATAAAATTACTATGTACGGATAGCTCGTTCAGCTAAATATTAGTACTACTAGCAGAAACAATGAGGTTATTGTATTAGTAAAAATGTAGCATTAGCGACCTGTGGTTTGTAATCTTCGGTTACCTTGGTACCCAGATGACTTGTCAGTCTGCGAGGAACAGAATAGTTACTACTAGAGCTCATAACACTGGCTGTCTCGTGGTCCATTCGAGCAGCAGAACCCTACAAATTCAAACAACAACTCAGTATAAAATGAAGACTGAGTAAAAAAACAACCACCTAATTCAGTTTCAGCACTGGATGAATTGTACTGACAGTAATGAAATGTCAACTTCTGTTGAGTTGGGTCCTCTCTGTCCCAACATAACTTAAGAAGTCACTGTTAAATCTGTTTTTATTAACTACTTTTCCTGAGAGTTAGCCTCAACAGAATTGTACTTTTAATGGAACTGATTTATAATTACTATTTTCACCATGTGTGAGGAGTGGACTTTGCAACAAACCTTAATAATAATTTTTACAGAGTGAAAGAAACCAGCCTCAATTTTTATGTCTTATTATGTAGTGGAATAGGTCTGTACTTTTTCAGAACAAAACCGGATAAGCAAGAACTGTCTAGTACCAAGAGAATCATCTGGACAAGGAGTGACCCTGTTTGAATTTGTCAATAGCAAAAGCAAATTGTGAGTGGTTGAGTAATTTTTTAATGAAAAACTATAAAATAATGCTGACACTACTTGATGCCATTGTCCTAGAAATTATTGTAAACAGTATGCTCCTACCTGTATTAGCAAGACTCATATATCAGCATCTTTGTCCCCTTTTAATATGTTTTGTGTATTTGCATTTTTCCTTTTCCCACCATCTTTTCCCACTAATTATCTTTATTTTTCTTTTATTTGCTGTTGTTTTATTTCTTCCTCTTTCTCTGCTTCCTGTCTCTGAAGCTTCCCTTGCTATGTCACTCCCTTCTCATTTGGTTTGGGGAATTCAGAAACATATTTGTTTAGGGAACACTTTTAGTATTTAGCATCAGAACAGTGTTTTACTCAGGTAGTTACCAGTCTTTCTTTGATCCTCTAAAAAAGCTAAGATCTGTTCATGAAATTATTGCCCTTATTTGCAAAACAATGTTTTCAAACTATATGGATCTATGAATATTACTTTTTTTCAAAAAAAACCCACAAAAACACAGAAGAAAACTCCATGGAAGACACTTTGAAATAATTTCTGTGATTTCTATGCGCACCATAAAGAAGAATATTCCCTTCTGAGTATTAGCTGTTCATACCGTTCAACATCTTAAATGTGAAGTTGAAAGAGACTATAAATAAAAGGCAGGAATAACTTAATGCAGTGTTTGTATAGACAGAAAAGAATCTAGTTATAGTGGAGTATGAAAACACATATTATTATACTCATTTCACTCTCCCATTTGAATGCAGAAGATTTGATGCAGGTTCCAGTAGTATTATGCTACATAAGTATAACTGGAATGATTTAAATTCACACAATTTATTCCAATATATATTTCCTATGTAAACAAGCCTTTATTTTCTCTGTTGACTGTACGAAAAAATCAGAATCTGAAAGCTTAGAATGAAAATCACATTGGATTTTCTCAATTATTCACTTAAATAACGTGCAGTGCTAAGAATATGGGAATGAATTCCCAGATTTTTACACAGAGCAACCCCTTTGTATCACCTTGACCTCAAACTACATTCAGAGGATTACAGGTTCAAAATAAATGTACATGCCAGAATTCTCCATTATTAAGCTTAGCATGATCCAAGATTGTAAAAATGATATAGGTTTGGAGCACTACCTCCTAAAATGCACCATGGTGTAGACAGAAACAGCCTAATTATTCTATCATTTCCCTCAAACCGTATCAACTTCAATTCAGATAACTAATTCTTTCAGAGCCATCATGCGGTCTTGCTACTCAGAGGAGGATGCCAGGATGCCCAATGAAGTGTAACTGCATTTCTTATTGGCGCCTAAAAACTAATGTGAAAGAACTAATGGAAGGTGTGGCCATTCATGTAAGAAAATGGGAAATAACAAGGAAATGTTGTGCGGACCTTTCCTGTGTAGACCCTTCTCTTTCAAAATCTTCTCCTCTCTACTTAATCTTGTTTTCTCCTTTTATACTTTTTGGTCTTTAACTCATTGTTTTACCAGGCTTGCTATCTACCCTGTCAATTTGGCAGTTTTACCTGGTTTGTGACATATTTTCTTAACAGAAAGATGGACAACTGGACAACTGGAATCAACTCCTTTATGAATCTTGCAAAACAAAGTTTTGAAAATAATTTTACTTAGGCATGAGGGTAATGAGTGTAACGGAAAAGAGAAGGCAGCTGAAAGATGGTGCAAAAAAGGATATACCTGAATTCTGAAAAATCCTGGATTCAATTGGCAGTGTTTCAATTAACAGTGACTGCCAGTTAGAACCAAATGATTTGGTTGAAACTTTTTTTTTCACTCCATTGAATACTGATTGCACATCATATACTGAGCTGGTTTATCAGAAATAAATGTTACACCCAATCCATTAAACCTTTCTCTGTCTGGACTTGGACTGAAAGCAAGTAATCCCCAGATGGCTGTTTTAACACAGATAGAGTGTCCTGGCTCTATCCACCTCCAGGAGGAAGGAACATGCATGTTTTACACATTTTTATAAGGCAACAGTCAAAATTTTACAAATCCTCAACGTAAGGCCTCAAGTGAAGTATGAATGAATCTTCCACTTGCATAAGTCTGCCAAGATATGACAATCCCTTCTTCCTTCCTTCTCTGTAAAATACATTGTCCAGAAATACTCCTAATTCATCCTCTGAATATGGATGGTGCACCAACAATGCATCAATTATTTAAATACATTATGCTTTCAGCCCCAAAGCAGCACTGAACTCTTTTCTTCCCAAACAATAAAGCTGTCATAAGAATTAAGAGTAAGAGCCTCAATCACATATGGATGATAGAATTTAATTCCAAATGGTGATCAAATGTATTTCAAAAGCAAAATCACAGGCTGTGCTTACTGTTCAATGAAGTGAAATATTCTAGCCAAACCACAGTTCTTTCTGATAAATTTTCTTTACAAGATATTTTCAGAAATATTTACATAATTCCACTTCCTTAGATTAGCAAAAATATTTTACATATGAATTCAGCTATTAAATCTATATTGTGAAGTTTTAAGAACCCAAATTACTACTGGGAATGTCTCAGCTACAGTTGAAAATCATGAGGGGAATGACCATGGTAAATAAATAAAAGTATTTTTAGCCAAAGAAAGAAGTCATAAATATTGATGAATATTGTTTTTAAAAGACAAGAATTTAATGTACACCTCAAAATATTCCACTAATGTATTTCTCTAATAAAAGAAAAGCAATGAAAGATTATTCAGAAGCATTTAAATAACCTGCAGCCTATTTCCAGGAGATTATCTCATTGATACTATGGTTTCAAAGCTTTAGATAAAACAATATTAAAGAAACATTAATGATAAACCTGCCATTTGGTTCTTCTCCTTTTTTAAAAATCACTGATATTTCAGTGGTAATTTCTAAAGTGAAAATTTAAACAATTTTCCATAATTAAATCACACTTTCAATATTAAAATTCACCTACAATAAAATACATTCTCCATAGCCATTCCTGTTATCTCCTTCAAAGCATTAGGCTCATTAATCATTTAAACAAAGGAAAAACACTCCCCGCATTATTGAATATTTATACTTTACCTTATTAAAAAATTTCCTTCCAGTAAATACAAGAAATTTCTCACACAGAGATGGAAAAAAGGAAAATATACATATTTTTTAAAGGAGTAGGCATGCAAACACAGTAAGGTAATTCCAACACATTAAGCAACCTCAAATATTTAATTACATTAAAACCACACAAAATACTCCATTTACCTGACCAGTATTGCTAGCTGCTGCGTTGATTTCTGCTGCTCCTTGACCTTCATTCTGTCTCTCCGTATCATGGGAACCTGCATCGTGCTTGCTTTGAGGTGCTCTCTGCAGATACAAGAGTTTAGGAAATTACATACTGAAATGAAGTGCACTTTATCATTCAAAGCTTTCTGGCCTGTGAAAGCATCTCTCCTACACTCTCACAAAGCCATCCAAAAGCACTTTGCATTTCACAAGCCTGAGCCTCAAAAATTAACAGCTGAGCCTGAGCGTCTTTGAAAGGCTGCAAGATGAAAGTGGAGCCCGTCCTCTGAGGATTACAGCCCTGCAAGACAAAGGATTCGCTGTGACACACAGGAACACCATTTTCCACCAGCTGTGCTCACATCCCTATCGGAAATGTAACAGAATTGGAGCAAACAACTGTCTGCTCTGCTCTGCCACATGATCCCCGCATTTACTGGGGACTACGGCAGCACAGCTCAATTAAGCTTCGCATTCTAAGACAAGTAATTTCTGCTTGAACAGAAGGATATCTGTACTGTAAGAATCCTTCTAAATGTCAAGGACAAATAGTGCAGGAATTACCACTGTGACAGAAATAAAATTTATATAGCCTGATACTGATCCATCTAATATTCTGTCAAAATAAATTTAACTGATGTGGTAAGATGGTACAGACAGGTTTCAGTTCCTTCAGGAAACTGGAGTTTTACACATCTACATGAAAATTAACCTGGGTTTCCCTGCTACTGACCAGGATCATGAGATCAAAAGAGAAAATTAGGCCTTTAAATACAGTTTCCTAATGAAGTAAACAGAATGTGGCACTTAGTGCCATGGTCTAGTAACCATGGGTTGGACTTGATCTCAGAGGTCTTTTCCAACTCAGTTGATTCTATGATTCTCTGCATAATTGAACACTTATAAAGTATGTGAAGTATCCAACATTATCTGTTAATGTGTTTAAAACATTTCAGATTTTCAGAAAGACATGAATGTCCATGGAACTGGTTGAAGACTGAAACTAAAAGCAGGATTATTTTTCAAGTATTAGCCTTGTTGCCAAATCTCATTTTATAGACTAAGAGGCTATTACCTTAACAGACAAAACAATCTCAAATAACTTGTTTAGCTACACTTGGTATATTACATGAAGTTTCTATGGGACTCTGCAATGGTCTTTAGCAGAACAGCCTATAGAGCTTTGTCTGCCTTACCTTGATTAGACGATATTTGTCTTTGACTTTTAGCAGAAACATACTGTTTGCTCTTCAAGGTACATACACTGAAACATCTTTAGTTACCCAGTGATCAAACTCATACAGTATCACTGGGATAAATAACTCTGTTTTGTCCCTATAGAGTCTCAAACCCAGAAAATATGTAATGTTGAACAGAACTTCAGAAACCAGTAATTAACTATAATACATGTGAAGTGGTAACTTAAAAATTAAATCTATACAGTTTAACTGAAGGAATAAGGTAGGTCAAAGAACACAATAATATTACACGAAGTAACGAGAAAATTGGAAAAAATTATGGGTAGAACATTTCTTAACATTACATGTTCAGTTATGGAAAACAAGTAACCCCCAATAAGCTACTATTCTTTTAAATCTGATCTGTAATTTTAAAGGTCACCATCCCTGTCACTGTGTAAGAAATGATACTGCTACTGGTGCTCATATAGTAACTACAGAACTTTTGATTCCCAGTACTAGAGGGGAAGCCCCAGCCAAGATCAGGCCTTGCTGTACTATGTGCTGAATACAATACAATATAGGCTGAATCCCTGTCTCACAACATTTTCAATCTTGAATAAAGTGTAATTATGAGTTTGACAAAAACTAGATCTAAGCCTCCAGTATAACTCAGGACAGAATTTTGCAGTCACGAGGTGACATTTTCAATCCCATGTAAAAAGCAGTATTAAACATGCCTAGAGGTAAAAAGCTGAATGGTTCATTAGCTGGCTCTGACCCACTGGGTCACCTGAAGGGGGATAACAGTACTCTTCCAAAAACAACCCTCGGGTTGGGGTAATTTTTTTGGGGTGTTGATGAGGGTATATGTATTAAATAGTTCTGCTGCATCTGCAGCACATACACCCAGGTATTTCATTCACTGACAAGAAAAGTTTCTGCTCTCCTTGACACTCTCTTTCTCCTCCTACTCACATACATTTTGTTTATGAATGAGCTGGCTTCCCATTCCCCCCAAGTACTCTCAAAAATACACCATTACAAAAAGTAGTCTACAAAACATGTAAATTAATTTAGAAGGCGATTTTTAGCAGTTACTAGCAGGGTTCTCTAAATGCAGTATGTGCTCATGACATGCACACACATTAAAGTCACATGAGTTAAGAGATGCACTTGAACATGAGATCTGCAAGTTCACAGTGAAAGAGTTCTTACCACTTCAGTTACTGAAGTAACTTAAAGTAGGCTGTTCTCTTCATGCAGACTGGCTCAAAGGAGTTAATGACAACACAGGTAGCAGAGAGCAGGCTATTCATTGAAAACTGAGTATTTATTATAGATATATTATTATATGTTTAAGTATATATATTTATATGAAAATATTATGTATCCGCACATATGGATAATGACAACAGATTTTTGTACAGACCTAGCATTTCTGTAAATAAATATTCATCTGATAGAGTGCCAATTAGTGGTTAGAAAGATAGTATAACCATCATCAAGTTTGTCGCCTTTTCACAGTACCTTTCAACATTGGATGATCCAGGACCTGTGGATGAAAATATAGAACCTACCAACCACACCAGCAAAGATCCAGAGCATGTACAGAGCAGCAAGCTCTGTAACCTCTACATGAGTCATAGCAGGTGGAGAATGGCACATGGGTCCCTGGGTAAAACAGCACCACCTATTTCAGAGCTTGACTTTTGAGAAGGCATAAGCTGGGTTTATAACCCCTGCTATTTCTGAAGGCTGGCATCACACCACCAAGTCAGTTTAACAGATTACATTTGTTTGCTCTTGCAGCAAAATGGTGGGACACTACACGTGAATATATTGCGTACTATAGGAATAAGGAGCTGCTCCCTCTGTCTTGTTTGCCACAATTTTCTAAATATTTCTGAAGTCAACAATAACTATCACTTGTCCGTTATTAACTTCCATATATTTACTAGTAGAAAATTTATAAACTCTAGCTAATTATGACATTTGCAAGCATAGTAGGCCTTGATTATTTTTGCTAAGAAAACTGATTATAAATAATTTTACCTAATACTTTGTCAACATGAGTTGCCAAAGCGGTCCATTGTACATTCAGTAGGTCAGAAGACCATTTTAGGCATAAACCACTGTATTTTTTCCCCCAATATTCAACTACCCTTTTATTTTTCTGTGTGTTGAAAACTATAGATACTCTAGATACCAGAAAATGCTTATTTTGCCATTACTTCATATTAAACACAATATACATACATGTGTTACTTAACATATATAAGAAAAAGAACAATGCAACAAGCGAAATTAAGAAAGCATATATTTCAAATATTTTGCTACAACTGAGTCAAAGAAAAAATAAACTGAGTCAAATCCTTGAAAACACTCCTGTCCATCACAGTTTAGAGCTTGCTAGGCATAATCTTTGTGAAAAATAAAGTCTTTACATTTTATCTACAGCAACACTGCCCAAGGGAAATACTTCACATATTTCAGATGATAGATATTATGAAAGAAAGGCCTGTACCACCATAAGAAAGTGAAACCCCCACACTGAACACTTGCCAAGAATTTGCTTTTTTCTTTTAAATAATTTCACTTTGTATCTAACAGCCAAAAATTCTCTTTGGACAGGTTTAACTCTACAGTGAATTTCAAAACCTTATTATGAAAATCTTGCAAAGTTTCATGAAATTTGAAGGTACCATCACTCGCATGTAAATTACTTCAATCTTTTCTAGAATTATTCACAAGACTTGGCAGTTTGCCAAACCTTAAAAATGCACTAAAATATATGCCAGAATTTTCTCTGCTAATCAATTTCCAAAAGCTATTTTTATGTTACAGTGTTGTATTTGGTCTTATTCTTCAGAATACATTGCCCCTGGATTCCACAGTGAATGACATCACCACACGGCCAACTGTATCAGCAGACAGGCTGTGATATTTGTTATTGCTGTTACCAGATCTTTATAAGAAGCACATTCAATTTGGGTATCATTGTATTGGGCACAGTATAAAAGTATAGTAAATGTCTCACATTTGTATTTTTCAGTTACATGGACTCTGCAGTTTGAGTGCTACTACCTTCCCCCTTGCCACCAGAAAATTTCAGAATTAGATCCAGATTAGAGCTGTAAGAGATGCTCATCACTTGAAAATTATTAAAACACACTATAAAGTACTAGCGTGCATGTAGTGACTGCCTCCTTTACCACTAGTACTTTGGTAACTCTGTCCTAAAATATCTAACTATTCAACCAGACATCCCAACATTTTACAGGTAAGACACACCATAACAAAATTTCAGTATATCAGAACTTCAGTGTATGTGGCAGCCAAATAATTTGGTGAAAGGAGTGAAAAACTAAAACAAAACCTTTTTTTTTGTAGTCACATCTCAATGCTGGTTGAGCTCCTGACCTTAAGTAAGTTTAAAATACTGAGTTTTTTTAAATCAGAATAAGAAATAATCACTCTGGGGACAGGAGCTATTTGACTACATGGGACAAAAGTATCTGTCGAGAGGCTGACCAGCCAGGTAGGGAGAGCTTTACACTGGAAATGACAAGGGCCAGAGTGCTTCCTCAACAAACAATTGACAAGTTGGAAGGGTAGGGCAGGCAAGGCAAGGGCCCTGGCTGATGGGAACACAAGGGCAATCCACATGATTGAAATAAGAGCAACGTCCTTGAGCACAGGTACATAAGGAACAAGGTGCAGCAGAACAGCCTTGGGAAAGCTCTCAACCTGGGCTGGAGAATTCGCATGGCTGGGTGTCTGTCTCTGGCACATGTCTGTGTGTGAGCAGACAGGAGGAGTTAACATGAATGCAGTCATGGGGCTGTACCCTCACTGGGATCACAGAGATGTGGTAGAATAGCTCCTATGACTAAGACTGCAACTGAGATATACAGGTCTCTTCTCCCCTCTAAAACATGATAGGATAAGAGGAAACAGCCTCAAGTTGCAGCAGGGCAGGTTTAGATTGCATATTGGGGAAAATTTCTTCACCAAAAGGGTTGAACAGACTTCCCAGGAAGAGGTGGGGTGACTGCCCCTGGAGATATTAAAAAGATGTGCAGATGTAGCACTTGAGGGCATGGTTTAGTGGTGGACTTGGCAGTGTCAGGTTAATGGTTGAACTCAATGATCTTAAAGATCTTTTCCAACCTCAATGACTCTGTGGTCCTAAGTGAGGCAGGGAAGTTTTCCTTTATGCAAGACAGCAGCTACAGTGCATGGTGCTCTGCCTGGGGATGAGTCAGTCAAGAGCTTATGGGTGAAGATTAGCAGGCAGACCAACATGGGAGCTGTGGAGGACATCTTCTAAAGACCTACTTATCTGGAGAAAGAAACAGAGAGAACTTTTCCAAGAAACTATAAGAAGCTTCGTGTGTAGAGGCCCTGGCCTCACAGGACCTCTTCAAGTCTGCTGGAGGGATAATAGCAGGATGAAACATTCCAGGAGATCTCCTGACTTCTCTGATGTCAATTTCTGGACACAAGTGATCCAAGGGTCAAGAAGGAGAGGCCCTGTGCTGGCTTTGATACTTAAAAACAAAGAAAGAACTTGCTGAGGACATGAAAGTTAGAAATAGCCTTGGTTGCAGTGACAATGAGATGGAAGAGTTCAGGATCCTAAGAGGAGGGGAAAGGGCAAAAACCAGGACCACAGACCCCACCCTCACTGGAGAACAGGTGATTTCAATCAAAAGCTTAAGGGATTGGAGCAGTTCTCATATGCAGAGAGGCTGAGAGAACTGGGACTATTCAGCCTGAAGAAAAGAAGGCTCAGGGAGATCTCAAGGTGTATAAACACCTGGATTGACTCATATTTAAAAAGACCAGGCAACTTTAATTTCACACACTACTGTCTGATTCACCTGATGCACCTATAAAAACAGTTTTTCCCCCAGATCCTGGAACAATGAAACCAGTATCTTTCAAAATGGAAAAATATACATCCGTTACTAATCCAAATGCTGCTTTGAGCTTTCACTGTAGTTATTTTGGGTGAAGACAAACCATAAAATATTCATGTCCTCCAACACACTCTATATTTAATTTACCAATACAACAAATGGAGTTGACATTCTAAGTGAATTTCCATGAGGAGAGCAGTTTTTCCTAATGGCAATTACTAACATGGACTCTGTAATTTACAAGAAACATCCTGTATTTCTTAATATATAACCCAGTACTTAAACACTAAAAATATATCAGGCTTCTATAATGAGGTCTGATAGAAGCTGTATCAATCTTCTTTTTAAACTTATCTCCTTCAAAAGACAAGCACATCATGAAGGTGCTTATCAGAGATTCATATTTAGAAAGGCATGTAAAACTGATGGTTGTAATTATTTGCTAAAACCAAAACTCAGCCTTTATAATACACTGCATGTTAACATTTTTATTGAAATTTCAAGTTAAACTTCTAACTGATATATCATTATTGATTAAAGCTCCACAGTAGCTTTAAGACTAATCCAAGTATTCCACCCTCAGGTCACTGGAAAGAGAGCAAGTAACACCTTAAGAATACTGACTAGTTGTTTAATTGTGACATCAATTGCTGGTGGAAATAATCCTGACTAGCACTTCATTCAAATAATTTGGGTTTTTAAAAGAAAAAGATACATACCACAATCAAAAAGGGCAAGTAATTGCTCACTAACCTCTGCTTCAGCTGCTTGTGATTGCAGGAGCTGTCGTATGCGAAGAATGTCCTTTTCTATTTGTTGAATTCTCGCCACTCTTGCCTGAAACGAATGGATTTTCATGTTTGATTTTGTTCAAAACCTCTTTTTCCTTACTGTACTTAGTGATACTGTGAAGAGTTCCTTGCAAATAACGCTGACTACAAAGCAAACCTACTTCAGCTGGTACATGCAGTAGGTACTACATAGAGTAATTCAAGTGTGCTTCCTAACAGAAGACAGGCATGACTGCAAGCATCTAAAACATAGTGAGTAGTCGGGATTTTAATAAAATTGATACCCATTTGGACGTAATAGGTCGCCACATGACACATTCAGGTATAAACAAATGCTCCCATTATCTTGCACAATATTCCTCCTTCTGAAACTGACATTTTATGCAGACCTTTAGTGAATTTTTCCACTCTCAAATATTAGAGTTCTACTTGCCTTACAAAGATTTGAGAGAGATTTGTACTTGCAGAGTGTCTTGAAAGTATGAGACCCTGACTGATTTCTATTATATACAGGTACTATAACGATTTGGGAGTTTTGCTTATGCTCAGCCTCTGAAATTTTCTGCTTCTACAAATATCAAAAAATTTAACAGGCTAAGTATAAAAAAACCTACATACTGCTTCTTTGGTTTATCTGGGATTTTACAGACATCTCTAAATCAGTCTTTTACAGCCATATTGCTACTCACTTCCCACTGCAACCATTCTGTAGTTAGTAAAGAGAATGTTAAAAAACCCCAAAATGCTATAGGATCCATGTACTTCACACCAGTTGTACAGTGAAGCACAGGATGCCTTGCGATTCAGTGAAATGATAACTGTGAAAAGTTATATATTTCTGCATGAATCTAATAATTTATTGACATTACTTGACTTAGAATGTGGACAGAACACCAAATTGATTAAACAGTATTTTTTGTGTGATGGATAGATTAATGAAGTGGATACATAGTTGAAAGAAAAATTCTGATTCTTTTACTCGATTAACATTTACAATGCTACACTAAAAAAAACAATCTAGTGGACACTGCAAGAATCAGCATTATCACCAATCTTATTTAACACATTTATAATCTAAAACTGGAAGCAAGATGAACTTTTAACTAATGCCAAAAGATACACAGGGAATAGAATCACAATATTATCTGGAAAATTTAGAATTATAGAAGAAAATATACCCACAAAACAGAACAAATTACTGAAACATACATCAGAAGCAGCTATGGGAAGAGCATCATAAGCATCAATGTTTAGTTGAGATGCAAAGCTACAAACATTTGAGTATAGATTTGATTTGATTTTGTAAAGCAAAGTATCAGAACACACATAGAAGCTTCAGCATAGAGGCAAACAGATAATTCATCCCACCCTTTGCATTTAAGTATTAGAAAGATAGTAAAAAATGTATTTTTGGGAATAACTATGCATGACTGACAAAATGTGTCTCTCACTGTCCTTAAGAATTACCTCAATTTTACAGAACCACAGAACAGCCTGAATTGGAAGGGACCTTGGAAGCTCATCTATCCCAAGCTCCCTCCCATGGGCAAGAACATCTTCAAAATTTGTGAAAGTCCTGTCTGGTCTGACCTTGAACATTTTCAGGGATGGGGTACCTACTGCCTCTTGGCAGCCTCTCCCAGTGTTTCACCACCCTCACTGTAAAACATTTGTACGTAATCTAAATCTACCCTCTACTAATTTAAAACCATTAACTCTTGTCCTGTAACAACTATTCTCTGCTGAAGTTTTTTATAGATCCCCTTTAAATACTCAAAAGCCACACATTTCCCCCAGATTTCCTATCAATTGAGTTTCTTTCAGTGTAACCAGCAATTTATCCCATAAAGGGCATCAAGAGAATCTGAGTATATATACACACCCAAGCACAGGGAAGTTTTGTGTAGATGAAAACAATTAAATATTGCACGATTTGCCAAGTATCACTGACTAAGTTGCCCAAAGGGACAGGAATTCAGCCCATCCTTTCCAATTTTAGTCCAGAGATTTAAACATCAGGCAATTCTTCTTTCTGCCAATTCATCATTTGTATTACATGGAAACTAGAGAATTTCACTATCCAGGAGCATATTTAGTACAAAACACCACAGAAGCAGAAAAAAGAATGTATTTTCTTCCACAAAGGGGTACAGCTTAATGGTAAATACGCAAAAATCTGAGATACACAATAGAACAGGCACCAGGAATGTGTTTAATTTTATAACCTATTTAAGAAACATCACTTTTGATTTCTGTTTGTTCATAAAATATTCTCATTCATTTTTATATTTACTTGTAACCTTTATTAACATAAAATTGTTGGATAAAATAACTTAATATTTGAAGTTACAGTTACTTGGCTTTCACTGCTCCAGTAAGGCTTCTAACAAAAAGAAATAAAACTCCTCCACATTCAAAGTGATGAAAAAATAGTCACTTTACTGAAAGTAAAAATAAGCAGTAACATTTTGTTTTAAAATGTTGTTTGAATTTTTTGTTTGTTTGGGGTTTTTTCAAAAATAAAGATAAATAATAGACAAAATTATTAATAGCTTGGCCTACATTTACATACAAGATCATTGTATGTATTTTCATCTGTGCAAGACTCCAGGATCCAAACTTTCTTCTAACTTCAGTGGTCTGCTGTTTCAGCAAACTTCAAGGGATCCTGGGATTAATTCTTATAAGAATGATAATTTCTTGTGAGATTTTAAGGAACATTTAACCTAAAAAAAATAGATCCTTCTTGTTCTGGCATGAAGGAAAAATAAATTCTATTTGAACATGAATTCAGTTTTAGAATTGAAGTATTTTTTAATATACCTTACACAAATTAAGTTTGCTTCTACTTAATACTAAGCATACAGGCTACAACATTTGAACAGAGCAGAAAGGAAGTGGGAAAACGACAAAGTTGAATATACTTGCCAAATAAATTTTTTCATTTTTGCACATTTAAACATGACAGTGAAATAATGCAGAAATTGCTTTTATGTATTTGTACACCCGTGAGCTTCTACACATTTCCAGCACTGGTCCTTGGGAGAATGGAACCAAGGGGAATTACCAGTTCAGTTCACAAGAAGCATATGAGAAGCAGTTACTTCCCATTTTATAATCTTTATATAATCACTCTAGGTACTGTAATTTCTCTAAGTATGAAAGTGTTACACATACGAATATATAGAGAGAGGGTGAAACAGCTGTGACAAACACCTTGAAAAGCATTAATTCAGAAATCTATAAAATATTTCAACATTTTGGCAGCATTTTGCCCCCACAAAACTAAAAAAAAACGACTACCAAACAAGCAGGAAAGAAATAAGTTCAGGGACAGCTTAATTACTTTCATAGTGATATAACTACAGTCATGTTGTGACTCTGCATAATTTCTTTTTATCTCTGCCTGAGTGCCTCTAGAATTTTGCCAGCAGCCTAGCCTACCTATTTAGCTTAATTCACCTTTCTCTGGCTTAAGCTTGTTGGCAGCTAGAGAACTTTCCTGGAAGTTCTACTGTGAATGCCCTAACACCTTCTTCTGCAGGACCTTCACTGCAGGACCTTCACTCAAGACAGGCTGACACAGCTGAACTCATGCAGAGCATGACCACTGCTGATAAACCTGGATAACACAGCCTTGCAGCTCCCAGATAGGGCCAGCTACCACCCACACAGATTAAACTTGGGTCTGTCTGAGCACATCTATACAGACAAATCCCTGCACAGCCTTTGCATACATAACTGACGACTGCAGGGTATCTGCTCTGCTAAATACTTATAACCAAATGCACTTTCTAAAAAGTTCTACTAGATGACTCACTTTTAAATTTAAAGCAGCTGTTCTGATACCAACAAAACTAAATGTAAAAATAAAATAGAAATTTTTCTCATGTAGCAAAATTTTGTGTTGAGTAAACCTTGTGCAAAAAGTAAAGAGACTATTTTTATTGAAAATATTTATTTTGTAACATTCACCAAAAAAAACCCCAAAAAACCTTACCAAGATGGTAATTTAACACCTCTGGAAATAAACAGCAATAAATAATTCAAACTGTTGCTCTGCTACTGTGGGGGAATAGTTTTTATAACCAGCAAGCAACTGATTATTTAATTTATGGGTTGCACACAATTACATTCTGATTTATGCTTCCAGATGAGTGTCACATGTTTAAGACATGTACCTTGTCCTCATCATGAATGCAAAACAACTCTTGGTGAGAGCAAACAACTTCCAGATATGTATGTGGATTACATTTTACATGAATACCTTATTTTCAAAGAATATGCCCTGATATGAGGTTTGTGGTTAAGGAAACCTTATGCCCTGATATGAGGTTTGTGGTTAAGGAAACCTAGGAACAGTAGCTCAATTTTCTTCTGAACTTAAAAACATGAAAAAAACACAGAACAACAGATGCAGAATGAGCAGTTGCAAACACATGGACTTTTATGAAGCTAAAATGGTAGTAAATTATTAGCAGAAAATAATTAAAAATATTTTCTTTTGAAGAAATTGTCCCCATCTGCTGAATCAAAAGGCTTTTTCAAAACAGGGCAATGAGAGTACTTTTTGCTGAACAGTTATTTCCCATGTTCTGATTCCTCTTTTTTATTTGAATGGCCAACTAAACGCCATAAGGTATCACTGTGTTTACATACAATTTAAAGATACATCTACCAATAATACAATAAAAATGCAGGAAAACATTTTCTCTTCCTTTTAATAGTGAAAGACAAACTATACCTGTGCTCGCTTCTCCATGTCCTGACAGGTACCTAGTTGTTCTTCCATTGCAGCTCTAATTTGTCTTGCCTCATACTCCAACTGCCTTCTGGTCATATCTGTTTGCAAGGAGAACTGAAATCAAAGTACAGAGAAGGCACTGTAGTCAATAACATTTATGTAAACAATGTATTTCTCAGAACAAAAGCAGAACAATTATTTTTCCACAACAAACTTCATAAACAAACAAAACATAGTAACAGATTCTTAAAACATGACTGCATTATGAAAAACAAGAACACATGATGTTGTTCCATCAGCAGACCACCTGTGGGTTTTGTCAAATGACTAAATATAATAGGTAAACATAGAGAAAGTATTGTTCATTACAAGTGAAGAACATCTGGCTGTTACCAATGAAATTACTATGTGTGCCATCTGAATGGGTATTTTCAAAAATATTCAGAGGCATCAAACTACTGCTATCTACCCTATTTTTAACTATCCTGTGAGAAAAGCACAAGTGTTAAACCCGGGAGCAACCACACAGCTTCAGAGAAGACCTTCCAGCTGATAAGATTTTTCAAGGCAAAGCACTTCACTGGTTTTGGACAATTATTCACATTGTAAGTAAATGAGTCTTTAAGAGCCTTCCCAGAAGAGCCCTCTCAGAAGACTTCACCAAGGTCAGTTCAGAGAGTCAAAACAAGACAATCATATGCAAATACCAAATGGGATCCTTCGTTCTGTTGTGGTTGGACTAAGTAGTAATGGATACAGATTACCACAAAAGGTGTTTAGTGTAGATGATAAGACATTCTCATCACAGGAGTGGCTAAGTGAATTTATTACCTATGAAACTGAGGAGGCAACCTTAAAACCTACAACAGATACTGCAGACAGCGCCTTTGAGAATGGGTTGCATTTCTTCAAAATCCTTTTCAGATCTTCTCCCTTGCTTCTGGTGCTCTGCTAAGCTCAGCCATGACTCAGTGTGACTTTTGCCCACTGACACAAGTGTTTCCATTGTCTGTTTCCATCTCCAGGAGCCTGTTTATTCATAAAGTATGACTCTCTAAAGATGGGTAACCAGTTCTACCAAACACTGTATATGTGAAGGAATTCACTGCAAACATAACCAAGTTGCTGCGATCTAACAGGAAAACCTGTATTGTCTGGGAGATCAGACATCCTCATTATCCCAGATAATGGTGACTTGACTATGGAGGTGCCAAGGTAAAAACTTTGAGCAATAATACCTCCGTAGGCTACAGGCATTGGTATGAAATAAGAGCTCTTGTGTACACTGTCTCTTAGGCTAATATTGCTCTCAAAAATAGAAAAATCCATTAAACAACACAACAGATAGAGAAAAGACCTCTGGGGGACAGAGTTGAAGAAGAAGTGTACTGACATGTAATTCATTTGTCATAACAACTTCTCAATGTTCCTCTGTTATCACTGACATTTATACTAAAAGGTATGAATTTTGGATGTGTAAAAATCTACACAAAAATGCAGTATTTAGATTAAGTCACCTTTACACAGTGAATGAAAAAAACATTTTAAATTAAAATTATAGTCGAGAACATCACCAAATTAATAAAATACACACAGCATCTAAACAGAGATTGCAGCACCAGATACAGGACCAAGCACTCTGAAAGTACTTACATTTTCAGTAAGGGGAAGACTATCAATCCTTTTAGTCAAGTTCTGAAGCTGGGCATAATACCAGTCCTTTTCTTTCTCTTCCTTCTCAAGCTCCGCAAGTAAAAGAGATCTATTAAAAGCAGAAGCAGGAAGTGTCTCACTATTTATACCTCATTTCCATATGTAGGTATAGAAATAGGCACAAATACCCATAAAAAACGTTAGATGAGAAAGGAGGTTTGAAGAGGGCACTACGAACACATTGGAGAAGGTAAGCGCAGTTCCCCAGCCCCAGCTAAACAACCTGTCCAGTCCTCTGTGCTGGGCATATCAGGTCCACATCCATAAAAGACAAAACCATCTATATTTCTCTATAAAACTGCTCTGAAATCCAGAGCTAAGAGACCTTTTATGAAATCAAAGCCAGCTACTAGTCAAAACCCCCTAATTTTAAAAGTTTTGCTACAATTTGTTCTAATGGGAGAGAGAAGAAGTTTTCAGACGCGCACAATTAATATAGGGGGAGGGGAATATATTACCATTTATTATTAACATATATACATATATATATACATGTAACAATTTAACTATCTCTTCTATGATGAAACAATACATATACATAGATCGTCTCTCCTTTCCTTCAAAAAAGAGACAAGAAAGAAAGGAGAAGTCCTCTTTTCACTTTCAGGCCACAGCTCTTCCAAATTAATCTTCCGTGGCACTGGTAAGTGTCTCTTATTTTTAAGGCAGCAGTTTTGATTTGTCACAGCTAGAACTGAATCCAACTGACTCTTTCTTCCTAGAACTGAGTCCAACTGACTCTCTCTCTCTCCATCTGCTTTATTCTCGGATTCACTGGTCCTGCTGCTGCAGGGTCCAGCTAGCTTCTCATCACTCTTCCCCTCCAAGGTGGGAAAAGGCGGTGAGGTCGGATGAAAAACTCCTGAGGAGTTTAACTCCCGCACTCCTGGCTGGATCAGGACAGCAGGGCACCAGGGGCTCCCCCAAACCCAGCAGGGGAGAATCCCCTCAGCACTTACATGACTGTATGCTGCAGCCGCCTCTCCAAAGGGTCATGGCTAGTCTGCCTGGCCCGCTCCCTGATCTTCCAGGGTCCCCCTTGGCCGCTAGCTTCAGGGGGCTTCTCTCAGTAGCTGTGCTGCTCCTGGATCCCCAGCCAGGAGCCAGCGGCAGGGGCCCCCTGGCTCCGCGCCACGCGCGTTCAAAGCATGGTTGCTTCTCCTTCTAGCTACGCAGTTAAAATTTACCTCTTTTGATTTTGTGAGTATGTAATTTCTGCAAGGGCACACAAAGTTTTAAATTGGTCCAGTATCAAAAACACCACCCCTGGGCAGACTATCACAAACCCCCAGGGGGAAAGGTTTTTTTCAAACCACCACAGAACTAAGTCAAACAGGTTCTTTAAATACATACTTTTAAATTCTTCCTTCTATATTTTGTGTGGAAATTTGATTATTTTCTCAAATCATGGCTGGGATGTATTACCAAAGTAGTAAGGGGAAGTCTGAATTTTTGTTGTATGCTGTGTTTCTGTTCCTTACTGACATACAGTAATTATCCATAATGTGTTTGTATGCTTTATAGTTCACATGCTCTTGTCCACAACCTGAGAGGAATGCAGAAGTTAATGGATGGCAAATAATACTGGGCAAACTTGTATGCAGCTTTCTGTCTTCAAACAACCATAACTTCCCGCTTTAAAAATATTTCAAGCTAATTTTGATGATTTGACATTTATATTCCACATCCAATGTAAATGACCTGGCCAGCGTTTAAATGGAAAATCGAAACAGAGAGGATCCCTCCCTTCAACTGTAAGAGACTGAAAAACTGCACACATCTAAAAGTGATAAATGCCTGTAAACATAAACAGAATGACATAAATTTCCAGATTTGATCCAACAGTTGAAACAGAACTGTTTTAAGAATGTCAAGACTACACATTAAGTCATTTACTGTGAAGCTTTAACACCAGGCAGGTTTACAGTCAAAATGAGTGAAAAGATGCAGCAAACAGCAATTTCTATACCATGGCAGGCAACTGCAGCAATATTATAAGACAACAGTAATTCTTCAGCCACAATGATGGGGCTGCCAGAAATTCCTTAAGACCTTCAGACAGACTGAAGGAAAAACTAATAGATGGTGCTTGGGGAAAGCCTGTTGAGAAAGTAATTTTTTATCTCCCATCTGACCATTCTCTTACCACATACCCTGGGTGCCTAATCCCTGCACACACAGGCATTTTGCATTGCTTCCCTTTTTACCGCCTTGGGTGCCCATGCAGCAGCTGTGTCCAGTTTGTGAAATAAAATCTGCAAAAGCATAATCAATGCAATCCTTATAAAACCTATTTTTACCATAGGAGGATTTGCAAATGTGAAAGGACAGACGAATTCTGCCTCTGGATGTCAAAGAACTGGTAGCAGAAGCTGGAGGGATTACTTTCAGCTAAGTAAACATGTGATTAAGTTCCTCTTGTGAAATGCAGGCTACTCAGTTTGTGAGACACTGTGTCATTCAATCTGTTTTGACATGCACAATGGATGCCTGAAGCAAGAAAATAACTTAGGAGCCATCAGTGCTCCATAAACAACATAATGCATGACCTGAGGGCGACTTGTTTAATTTAATATTGTCATTTTTTCCTCTAAAGTAATGCTTTATTTGGGATTACTCATTTGGTATCACTGCTCCATGAGAATTCAGGTTTTAACAATATTAGCAAACCTGAAGGGTTGCTACAACCACAGCAGTTTAGTTTCCTCGAAAAAAAGCAGCAAGTCTGTGTAGATGCGTCTGATAAGCTGTTTCTCACTTTTAACATTACTATCAGATACTATACTAACTTCTTGAGGTTAGGAGAGGATTTAAAGTGGAAAAGCTGTTGCTGATCAAGAAAAAAAATTATGGAAAAACCGAGTGCAGTTATTTCATCTTTTTATGCCCCAAAAATGGTTTACGTTAGGGCTTTCACAGTATCAAGAGAAAATTCTGTTCTCCGTCATACACTGTCAAGTTCAGTGAGAGTGCAGCAAAGCAATCAGAGAAACTTTTGGAACTTTACATTACTTTTTTGAGTTAACAAAAAGTTTTCAATTTGAACTGTTTTTCTGAAGGATAGGTATTTTGAAAGACTTCTCAGATATGGTATTTTTGAAGATCCCAACAACAGATGAATGCAAAAAACCAGGTTTCTTCTTCTGGAAATCTTTTCTGCATAGTTATGTCAATATTATTCCCAGTCAAAATGGAGAAGGGAAACAAACTATACGCTACTCTATTTCCATTATGTAAATTGCAGCTATAATTAATAGTTTCCCTTCAACTGGTAGGAGATAAAATACAAACTTGAAAATGAGACAGTGCTGATGCTGTAAAGACTTAGGTAAGCTGTACAGTCAACCAAAGGGAGATAAGAATAAGGGAAGAAAGAAAGAAAGATAAAAAATACTCAAAATCAACACTGAAGAAATAAAAATGGAATGGTATAAACCAGGAGGTTTTTTTTCTCTTTTATTCTTATTTTACTGTGAAATCAGAAGAGAGCTAAGCAAATCAGAAACAGGCCAATAATTTAATCTTTATTCTGACAAGTGAATCAACTGACAAATTTTCTTCCCTTCAGAAGTTCTGTTTCAGTTGTGTGTGGTGGGTTGACTCTGACTGGCCATCACATGCCCACTAAGCTGCTCTAAATAATAAAATATCTCATTTAGTCCTCACACAAACACTGTTGCCCATCAGCAGCACATATTGTGCCAACGCATTAAGATACTGAGTGGAAATGTTCCTCTGCTGCAGGTTTCCAGAAAGTGTTACTTTATTCTAAATTAATTTAGGCTTGTCAAGTTCCGCGAGTTCCTTGAAAGTCTGTTTAACTGCCAGAAAAAATTCTATTAGCAAATAATGTATATTTATATATATGTTTAGAAACACATAAAATCAGTAAGTATGCCAAACAAGTTTAAACACAAAGCACAGGAAAATAAGTGGTTCATGTTCTTTCAGAAATTGTAGTGATTTCAGGTGCACAATCCTATATCCCCCACCCCATGTTCTGATTCATCTGGCTATCCAGGGTTCACATCGATGCCCTACACACTCCTACATGTCCCTGGAATAGCATAAAGAATAGAGCAATTTGGATTATCCACCATTTCACTAATAATGATCTGACCACACCTCTACAGAACTCCACAGCCCAAATATTTACCCCATCAGCTATGACAGTAACAGTGCCTAAGCTACTCTGAAATTAAAATATCCGTATTCCTTTTGCCAGTGTTATTTGGAACTGTGATCCGTTCACTGCCTAAGCTGTCTTTATTGTCAAGAAAACTGTCCAAAGAAGTATCGCCTCAGAATCCCCAGACTGGGAAAGGATCATAGATCATAAATCAGATGTGCTAATCACCTTAAAGAACTCCAGCTGCTATAAATATTCCTTGTGCCAAGTGACCAAGAGTTCACCTGAAACATAACTGAAAGTCCCAATTACATTTAAAGATTTTAGTATCACATGCAGTAAAAAAACCAGCACTGGAAAAATACAACCAAATGCACAGTTTGTTAAGATGGAAGATGACAGACACGTTAGATTCTTGAAGACTGGGATGAGCAAGTGGGAAGATTCCGAAATTCCCAAGTATTCTCACAGAGCTCCTCAGGAATCTACATTTTATGCAATGAAACAAGTATCATCAGTGATCCTGACTAGGAGAAGGGAAAAAATAGAGTGGCTGCCAGAACAGGCTCAGTACAAACCCATGGGAGGTTACGTTCATTCTACTGACAGGACCAAAAGAAAAGGACCTGGACATAGTACCTTGGAAGGAAAGCGTACTCCTTTCAGGTTTGGCTGCAAAAATTTTTCTGAACACCAGGAAATGCTGTTAAGAGGAGGAGTTTCTAGACAGCTGTCCACAAACCACTCATTACCCACAAAACATTTCCATTCTGACTCCAAAGTGATTTTTTTGCTTGTTAGCAACAACCAGGCAAAAACATACTGTGATACAGTTTATATTTGGTTTTGCAGCCCTCAGTTTGATAACACATCCATTAAGAAGCTGTCAGTGACCAAATCTTTAGGAAACCCTGTCTTGCAGATGGGCTTCTGAAAACATCTGGTATTTGAGTCAAGTTCATTTTAAGATATAAAGATGTCTTCAGTGGAAACAGCTGCATGTCGCTTACTTTGCATTTCCTTTGTAAGTGACTAATAAAGTGCTACAATTCTGTATTATGACCTGAAATGGATACAACTATTAATTGGATACACCTTCCTTCCAAGAAAAGGAATACCAGAATTTTCTCAATGCAGAGTATCTGATGGGAACAACATCTTGAAGATAAGACTAAGTTTTTTGCTTAGCTGACACATTTGCTGAGAGAGCAGAATCACTAGGTAAATGTCTTCTAACAGTAAATAACTGATAAACTAGTTTTGGTACTTAATAACCATTTGCAAAAGAGAGAAAGAGACTGCATCATCACATTGTTATAGTTTCAGCATTTATCAACAGTGGTGAGGAGATGCGGGAGTGTTTGGAATGTTCCACCCCTCTCTACCTAAAAATATTCCAGATACTGACAACCTGCTCGTCAAAATAAAGTAACCTTTAGTCAACAAAGAGTAACAATGAAATGCATATATGAAGCAGCAGTAGAAACTGAACAGTGTTTCCAGACTTCTAAAAATATTTTTGTGTGTGCGCATCTAAACATAAAGTAGATTCCTGGTTTCCTACCTTTTAAGGTAAATACATCAGTAACCAAAACCACATTCACGACAGTTAAATACCAGCTGTGTCAGTAAACTGTCATGTTAAAATGAGAAGTCAGTCCATACTGGATGAATAAGCAAACAAATTTACCTCTCTTTTTCTAGCTCTTCTAAATAACCAGTGCTTTCTCTGCTTCCATTCATAAAGCCTCTTCTTGGAAATGACCCCATGGGGACTGGACTGCACTCTCCTGAACGGCTCGACACAGACCCTTCCCGGCTCCCATAGGAACGCACGGACACCTTTGGCCTTAACTTCACTCCAGGGAAGCTGGTACCTTCCAAGTTCAGTTCTGGATAACAAAGAGCAAACATTTCCAGAGCAGAAGTTCAGCAGCAGAAATTTAAAAGATCATTTCTATCTTAAATTTCTTACTTCCTGAATAAATCTGTGGGGTTTTTTTAATGAAAATATTTTGCATGGAAATCCACTGAAGGTGATATTATGAACAAAACCAATGTTAATGTTAGACTTAGCAAACAGTAATCTGAGCAGATAACCAAACTGCAATCCTAGCAATCAGAACAGTATCCTCATACAAGCCTGCCTGCCTCTTTCTCAGAGGACTTCAGAAATGGGGAGCGTTTTGCATAAACATCATGTTGCGATACCTGGTGGCCCACTTCCTAATAATTTCTTTTTCAGAGATCCTGCAGATGCTTCAGCCATGTAACAGATGACTACTCTGTTCATCACATGGCTCTTAAATGTAGATATCCCCTACGGAATTCCTGGGTCAGTGGCAGGGATAATGGATGTATACAGGGAGATAGTGGTCTGGGCTTGTTTTGCACATCCCATACAATGGAATGATGCACATTCCAGCACATGCTGTAGAAAAGGGGGCATCAATTTGTAGCACGACAGAAACAATTCCAGTAACATGACATGGAGAGGGCAGGACAGGACATGCAAACAGGTTTAGAAAATTGGTGGAATGGCTCCATCATTAACTTACACATATTTTTTCTGAAGAACTGAATGAAATGCAAGTTTTAGCAAAAGCAATTCATAAGAGTAACAGTAGCAAAAGCATAAAAGCAGCATAGGAATAGATTTTTTTTTTGAGAATGTGTCTGAAAATGTTTAGCAAAAATAGAAGACACTGAGACTATGCCTAACCATCAAAGCCAGTGCCAGGAAGAAGATGCAGCTCAGTTAGAAAATTTTATCCCAAAGAAAAAACAGTGGAGAAACAAGTGAACCTAGTTAAAACATAATTTTGGATTTACCTTTAAGTCGTTCCAGTAAGTCTACTTGTCCAGAAGACGTCATTGCCTCATCTTCAATACTTCCTTGTAGCTGTTTCAGTACCTCCTGTAAGAAATAAGCTTGATTGAGAAAACCTTAAAATAATAAACCACAAGGTAAATATGTCTTATCCTGCTCTCAGGTGCACATTCATGCAACAGCTTCTGAGACATTGATGTAAACTGTGAGCAGTGATCAAGTGTCACAACTTTCATTGTCATCAAATATATTATACAGAATTTCCCCAAGCACTCTCATAATGTAAACCATATCCTGCATAACTCAGCCTATCTGGTAGTTCAACCTATTGGCTTACTTAAAACATGCTCCCCTCAAAGTGAATACCAGTTATCTCAAATTTACAGATGGAGAAACATTAAGCAGAGAAATTAGTCAGTCTTGTAAAAATAAAGTTTGGGTATGTAACTAACAGAAAAGTGTCATGAACAGAATTCCCAGGATTTACTTTCCTTGAGGCCTTAGCACCACTGTAAGCCAACAAAAAGAGTCATCTTGTTCTTGCTACAAATGCTACCACTGTCATGCCTGTGAACAAAAGATTTAGGTTTCCTTCATATTGTTACTACTACTACTACCACCATCACCAAGCCTACAAGGAAGAGATTTAGGACTCTTTCAAGAAGCTGAAGCTTCAAACTCAAGAATACTGCCCCATGCTATTGAAAGTACATATGACAGAATTATACAGCTGAAGGAACACAGTTCTAGTGCACAAAAAGATTCATAGTAAAAAATGACTACTACACTAAGAAGAGCCTGTAAGCCCCAGGTACCCAATGCTCAGTGGCCTAAATTCAGGTAGATGATTAAAGTTAGTGAAAGCCTTTTCAATATCATAATGGCATATGCATCAATAGCAAAAAAACAAATTAAAAACACTGGCTACAAGGCAAAAAGCCCTTACTGGAATTTAAAGTATCATTTCTCCTACTGTGACACAGAAAATATCTCTAGAAGCAGCAATAGTCAGTAGATGAAGACAATTCTGGGTGATGAAAGGTATTATGTAGTTTTCATACATAGACTCTGCTCACAGGATTATACATCTGAAAACCATTATAATGAATTCTAGACAATTTAAAAAGATGCCCACATCACTGTTTTGCTCTTTTAAGCATACCATACTGCCAGTATTAGTGGTTCTTGCGACTTGTACAGAAAGTACCTTTTAAATACGTTTAGCTCTTTTCAAGGGAAACATCATCATCATCATGGCTAGACTTCGTGAACGAAGATTTGGGGAGGGCTCTACCCACACTTGTTACCGGCACGCTGGTGGCTAAAAAGGCCAGTACGAGATACACAAGTCCAGTTGCAAAAGGCACAGCAGAAAGACTCCTTAGGTGGCATACCTGCAAGACGTGATTCTTTCTGCGTTGTCTTTTCTCCTCAAGAGTGATCCTGCGTGCATTCTCAAAAGCATCAGCAGCGTTATAGATGGTGTGTCTCCAGACCTCCTGATTGGAGGCCAGAGTAGACCAGTTATGGTGATCAATATGGCCAAGGCTGAGATGTTGTTTCAGGGAGTCCTTGTATCTTCTCTTCGGGGCTCCTCTCCTGCAGCAGCCGGTGGCAAGTTCACCATAAAGCAAGATCTTAGGGAGGCGGTAGTCCTTCATCCTGGAGACGTGCCCTGCCCAACACAGCTGTGTTCTCAGCAACATGGCTTCAATACCTGTGACTGCTGCTTGTTCTAGAACAGATGTATTAGACACATAACCTGACCAGTGGATGTTTAGGATTCTACGGAGACAGCGTTGATGGAAGCATTCTAAGAGTTGCAAGTGGTGACTCATGATTCGGATCCATATAGAAGAGTAGACAGTATTATGGCTCTGTAAACACTGATCTTTGTGCTTTTCTTCAAGCGTTTATTTTGCCAAACTCTTTTATGGAGTTTTCCGAAAGCACTCTATGCCTTTGCTAACCTGTAGTCAATCTCTCTGTCAGTCTTACCATCCGAGGAGATGAGGCTACCAAGGTAATTAAACTGATGGACTGATCTGAGCTCTGATTCGCCAATGGTGATGTGGGGATGATGGAAGACTTCCTGAGGTGCCAGTTGATAGAGAACTTCTGTCTTCTTTAAGCTGACTTCCAGCCCAAAAAGCTCAGCAATGTCTGTGAAGCAGGATGTTAAATGCTGCAGAGCTGCTTCTGCGGCAGATGTATGCCTTTGTCTCTTATCTTTGTGTGACTGCATTAGAAGAAGATGCCCATCGGCCACGGTTAACCAACCGGGTGAAGGTGGAGATGAGCTTTGGTTAGGCCACCTTTTCTAGGCCCCTCTCCGAGTGGAGCAAGCAGTGCTCTCCTTGAAAAAGGCTGACTGGTTGTTCAGGATGCTGCCGAAAGAGACTGTCATCTCCGGGGTCAGTCTCTAACGACCAATATCCTGAACTAAAGGGAAACAACATGACATCTACAAAAAGTCAAGATATTCTTTAAGCAGCACAGGACTGAGCTTTCTATATTCAAAGTGTTGTTCCTTGTAACAAAAAAAGCAAATAAAATAAAATAAATAAAAAAACCCTAGAAGAATTTTGAGTACAGAACTGCACAAGGTTCTGGGGAAACAATCTCCAAGCACTAGACTCAGAGAAAATGTCAGCAGCTCAGTCACTGCAGCCCCCACCATGGAATTAGATGCAGGAACTTTATGAAGAATTCCAGAGTATAGACACGCAAATTATGCTTACACTGTTTTGTGGAAATAATCCTGCAGTGGAATTGAGGCCAGATTTCCCAATTTACACGTTGCCCAACTGATGAAGGCAAGGTGTGTGTCCACATTCATGTTTTAGTTTGGTACAGTGTGTCCCCCAGACTCCCATTTGCCCCACCAGCTGTACTTTGGTTCACACTGTAGGGTATCTCTGAGCATGAACTGAATTCCTTTCAGATCAAACCAAGCCAGCAGTTCCACTCAAGAATGCAAATGGGCACTCACTCCATGGGACTAGGCTGAAGAGAGTTCAAAACCAAAATCCTCTAAAATACATACAGTATATGCATGCTGGATCCTTAATACAATTACCTACAGATCTGCTCTTACTGCGCTACCTGTTAATGCCAGCTTTGCCTTTAGGATCAAGCCTGGGGTGATAAAATCTCTGCTCTTGGAAACACATCTTCCCTGTGCTTGTGCTCAAGGGCATCCTCATTAGCCATATGGCCCAGCCATCTCTATACATAACATCTGCCTTGTCAGCAAAGTCAGATGTACAACTAATGTGGTGTTTTTCAAAGGACTACTACATTATCTGACGTAAGGGCAGATGAAATCTGCAGACAGCAGTCTTAGTTTAAAAGTCTCAAAGGGCAATGTGGATACATGGAGTAGGCTCTAGGTCTTGAGAGTTTTGCAGCCTTGTGAAAGATCTGTCAACTCAGATAAATTTATAAATAACTAATGAATCACTTTTTTCTGAAAACAACACCCTTGTACAGGGTAAAAACCCAGCTCAAACAACCCAACTCTCCTTCCATTCCCTTCTTAGAAGCTTCTTTCTCACCCCTCTGTGGCACATCTGCTATTTCAGTATTTTCAGGATACTTTCACACATAATAAGTCTTCCTGCTTCAAGAGCCAATATGAAAAGCTAAGTGAAATTACTATCAACTTTTCCTGCACTACCAAATTACATAACTGAGGTGTCCAGGCAGCAAGGGATTGCTCTCTCTAAATACTGGCAACAGTTCAACATTAGCATACAGGATCACTTTTCTCAGTTTTTTCTGTTTCAATTCACTAATTTAGGCTTTAACTTTTTCTTTTTTTTTTTTTTGTTAAATTATCTCATTTTTTTTGCCAAACAGCACATGTATTTTTTCATGTTAGTAGACAATGTGCTCTTTCTTGTATTTTTCTACATTTCTCTGCTATAGTGCCATTGTGAGGCTATGACATCACCTTCACACTCCATCATGACATACTTTGAAATCTAAGCTGACAATTATATAAATAGGCAGTTAAATAAAGCAGACAAAGGTTAGAGAGAGAGTGGCAGCCACTGGGCCAGCTACTGGTGAAAAATGAGGCAGCGTGCTAAAATGACACGTTGGTAAATTCACATTTTCACTTGAATAAAGAACGGAGAAGTTTTCTGCAATTACCTAGCTGTAGGAAACATGGCAAGTTATCTATTACTGTACTAATGAAAATATTTATTCACTATTTATAATCCAGGATTCAGCACTAACACTGTTTATGTGCATACAGTGCTTTGAAACAGTACTTTCCCACAACAATTCTGTATTATATTTGATATAATTTCTGCTAAAGAGTAAAACAGTCTCCACAAACAAAGCTGAATCAATTTTACTGACAGTAAATTAATATTCTGTTTAGTTATGCAACTTTCAATAAATATATCTGTAGTGGTTTACAGCATTATTCTAAGCAAATCCTTTACTAACTTAGCAGTGACTTACTGAAAGAATACACAAATGTATCTATAAGGAAAGGCTGCAAGTTTTCCTCCTTTTAAAGAACGCAAGTCAAATTATTTTAATGGTCACTATAATATAACCTAGTTTATCTTGTCCTGTGGCAGAACTACAAAAGAATGCTTTTGGAAATGGAGCAGGTCCTATGACTCATCATCATTTAAAAGGGTTTCTGTCTTCACAGTCTCTGGACTGTGAAGTACTGAAACGACGTCAATTTTTTGTTTCTCTGGTCGGTGGTTTGTTTTTTTTTTGGGGGGGGGGCTTTGTGGATATAGTCCTGACCTTAAAATTACTTTATGGATAATTAAATAAAAAAGATCAGATCCACCAGCATGCAACTGTACAACTACTGAGAAGAAAAGCACTTTAACCAACAGTATACGCACCCTGTGAAGTAGTAAGAGTTGTAAATAAAATGACTTAAGGGCTGCTTATAAAGAAAGGAATCACAGAGGAACAACAATAACAAGGGCAGATTTAAAATCCTAAGGAGTTAAGCTTTAAGGTCTCTTCAATTTTTGAGAACTTTAATATTTAGGAACATTTCAAAATATGGTATCTGAAAAAAGACATTCTGATGACAATTCAGACAA